AAAAATAGTGAGCTCATGGCTGGGTCTCAGTATCCCCAGACCACGAGGTCACTCCTAAAAACAGGGCTACTACTTATTATATTACTATTGTTTTTGTTCAGTAGATAAAAATCATCATCTCCATCGAAGATGGATCAACCCTTTCCCTCAACTCCTAGCACCTCATCCTTGTCAAATCTAATCAAAATATCAGTTAAATTCAAGTCAGGACATGACCGGATGCTAAAAGTTTATATGAGTTAATAAAAGTTTCCGTCCCGAGACCCTTCCGGATTCTTGAATCCGCTGAATCAAGCTCCTTACTCTTGATTTCTCGCTAATCCGGAAGGCTGGTTCTCACCCTTCACCGTTGTTGGCAACGGCCTTGCAACTATTGTAGCAGCACAATAGTTGCAACTCGGAACGTTCTCTGCTATTCTGTAGTTTGTTGTCGTTCTCCAATCTCGATTTTCGTACTGTTCGCAATCGCAGATAAAAGTTGTTCTGTTTTTTACTCGCTTTTTTGTTAAAATGGCCGCTTCAGCATTTCTCAGAAATGTGACGTCATCATTCGAATTTTTGAAAATTTAAAATACTAGAATATTCTAGCCCTCACCGTTTGGCTAAACGTTCCAATAACGTCGCTAATCCTTCGAAATCATCAACTCGGAAGGCTTCCTGCTCAAAATTCGAATCCTGCATAAATTGCATTTTGGCCATTCTGGTCGAATGTCACATGAGTGCAATCTGGAAAATATTCATGCAAGCTCAAAATCAAAAATATCTATCCTCTGCGTATGCTTGTCGTGAAATTATGAGGGTTTAAACTTTGGATAACAAACGAGCGATGCATATCGTTGCATCTTCTCGTAAGCGGCGAACTTATCTGGTTCTCAATCATTACAAATTTAATTGAAAGTATTCTAAATCGAAAACTAATTCGGCTTAATTTAATTTCAAATCGAAAAGATTTTAAAACGCAGTTTCTTGCTCAGAAGAAATTCTTACCTTTCAACTGGCAATTTTGTGACCGAGTTTTTTATGCGTTTAGAAAGATTATAATAGGACCTTTTACAAAAAGTAATGTGAGTTTGACGATTGCCAATTTTGGGCTGTATATTTTGAGCGAAATTTCGAATTTTTATGAACGCGTAGCATAGCTAGAGAAATATTCCAGCTCGGAAATCATTCCAAATTGAATTGGGCTCTTTTCCACTCCCGCACCCCACTTTTCGAAATATCGTTTTTCGTAGTTGTTTTGTCTGTTGTTATGTGATGCGTGATGTTGCGAGGTAAATTATGAAGAATAAGTCTGTTGACAATTTTTAGTCTGTTCACCATTCCAAGTTTCATTGCATTATGACAACGTGAAATAGTCCGTTTCAAAAAAATAATCGGCTTATTTTTAGTCTGCTTATGGTTTTTCGGCTTAGTTGTCATATCTTTGAATTTTTTTGCTGTATGCAGTTTTCATTGCAGTAAAATATCAAAGCCACATTTCATTACGCAGTAAAATATCAAAGACACTAGCCAAAATTGCACAGAACATATCGACAGAAATACTAAGTCATGAGCTTATTGAACCATATAATGCCTGTCGACTTATTTCACTTGATGAAAACCCAGGAGTTTGGCCAATTCGCATAGGCGAAGTCATCCGCAGAATAATAGGTAGAGCGATCACAAAGTGCATAAAAAGCGAACTTATGCCAGTCGGATCGAATTACCAATTATGCCTTGGCCAAAAATGTGGCAACGAATATGCAATTCATACGCTTAGGAAGCAATACGAGAAAACAGATTCCGATGGAGTTTGACTGATAGACGCGGAAAATGTATTTAACTCCCTAAACCGAAACTTGGCTTTGAAAAACATTGCAAATATATGCCCTTCTATTTTACCCGCTATACAGAATTTATCTCAGATATGGATGGGAACCAACCAACATTCCACTCACATGTGCATGTGGTCAATCTTTCGACCTTACCCACACCCTTCCTTGTGCAAAAGGTTGATACACCCACATATCAACCTATCAGAGGCATAACGAAATCATAGATACCTTTGCAAACCTCATGAGCGAGGTTTGCTTTGATGTTGAAAACGAGCCGAAACTTCAGGGCCAGAGCTTTGCCAACAATTCACCCACAACTGATGAAGACGCTCGAATAAATGTACAAGCAAACGGATTATGGGGCTCAAGGTTTGGCCGAAGCTTTTTCGATGTCAAAGTCCTCACCCGCACGAAAAAACTTCATGAAGACTACTGAAAGACGCCTACAAGTACCACGAATCACTAAAAAACTCAAAATACCAACAGAGAGTTCTTCAAGATGAACAGAGCAGCTTCTGCCCGCTCGTTTTCAGCTGCACTGATGGCGCCGCACCAGCAGCTACTCGGACAATGCAGCGCATAGCTGAAAAACTAGTGTGAAAAAGGCATGAAAGCTACTCAGAAACAATAAACTACATAAGAACTAAGATAAGTTTCGCGCTGCTCAGGAGCGCTATCCTTTGTATACGGGGGTTCAGATCATTGTGTAAGACGCAATTCATAGACAATTCAATTAGTGTAGAGGAGGGACAATTGTAGAGGAGGGACGGTTGCTTATTGCAGGAATTAAGTCAATGCATTAAATGCTGACTTGACTTAATTTCTGCAATATTGTTTATTGATGTATTTATACAATGCTGGTATGGGCACTATCCAGCTTGTGCACAACCGTACCTAAACGAAAGGTCCCCCTTCATAATTTGCTTTTTTGATTGCAGTTGCTTTTCATAATTTCATTACTCATGCCATTTTTATTTCTACTAACCTTGACTTCGTATATTTTCCGTTTTTTTTTGTTTTGAAATTTTTTCGGCCTAAATGGCTTTGGATTATATTTTATCGGTTTGCTAACCTAGTTTTGGGTCGAGGGAACCATAACTTTTATACTTTCCTCCGTATTGTACCAAGCGTTAAAAATCTCAGAATACAATTTATAGTTCAAAGTTTTTCATGACAACATTTTAATTTTTGTTCATAAATTGTTTTTTAATTTTCATTTAATGCCGTCGAATGTGATTCTTAACATGTTTTTACGCAAATTGAACATCATCTCAGATCACGTTTTGAAGTTTTTTTTACTTTTGATTTTCTTCGGTTTTTTTGTTTTCTTGGGCTCTCCTTTCCGTTTCTGTCTGCTAGATTGCACTGCTTTTTTTGTATGGCATTGTTTGGAGGGTGGAAATGATTTTTTTTGCTTGTATGTTCTTCTACCAAAATTCTTTTGAACTCGATTTTTCTGATACCTTAGGACTTTTTTGTCCTAATGGGCTCGATCCCAAATTACCCATTTAGTTCGACTATGTAAATAAATTTTCCTCTAAATGAAAATAGAATTGTCGCTGAGTAGACAAATATTGCGCGCTTGAAGTCAAACAGATTTAGCATGTGATCAAAGAGTCTTAAAGTTTGCATAGCTTCACGTTTTTTTTTCGGAAAAAAAACGTTAAATTTAAGGAAATTTACATTATCTTGTGTTTGCACTAGTTTCAAATCTTCTGCATATTGACCATTAGTTTATTTTCTCATTTTTCCTGAGGGTTTTTTTGTTCTACGACCCGAGAATTTGCTGCGCATAAAATTTGTAGTTTTGAACGTTCAGTTGATTTTAGTAAATCATGAACCAACCGTAATTTACATCGTTTCCGTTTGCAACATTGTTGCATAAACAGTCTATTTTTAAATTCTTAATTCTTTTCAATCCGTTTTTTAAAAACATAGCACATCTTTCAAGTGTTTCTTACCTAATGTACAGCAGCTTTTCAATCAAAATACATTTCAATAGAGCTTCAGAGTAATTTTGCCGTTTTTGAAAGCTTTCGATAAATTGCTGACTGAATTTTTCGTACTTGTTTTCTTTTGAAGTAATAAAAGCTATTGAAATTGGTAAAAAGTTGATTGTTTATTTTTTACAGTGTTGTTTGTGCTCTGTGTTCAAAATTAAGCAAAAAATTTGGAAGCTACTTTTGTTGATTACGTTTTATTTTCCTATTCAATATCATATCTGAGAGCGTGAACTATTGTCTGCTTGACATTGGGTAGCTGGAATTGTGTTCATGCTTCCTTCCGATTTTTATCACAACGTTTCATCCGATGGTTGAACTGACGACCTGAATTGCACAATCTTTCTCCGCCATCAGACGCATTAGCTCACGTTCGACTAAAACGGTTTGTTTGTTACATAATTGGTTACATAAAACGGTTTGTTTGTCTCTAAACATGATGTTTTGGTACAAGCGTGACACATGGGTTACAAGAAACTAACCCATCGAACTTTTGATTGTTTGAAAGAAGCCAAAATGACCCATTTTTGGGGTAAATTTTTGGCCCCGAATTTCGCAAAACGAATTGCATTATTATAAATTCAGTGAAATTCTAAGCAACTTAAGTCTTATTTTTGTCTAATATTCACCCAATTTAAGAAAAACGCGTTTAAAGGTTCAAATTTTAGTCATTTTTTTCGGATATTTTAAATCGGCATGGTAGTTTTGGCACAAACCTTAAAGCTGCTTTCTGCCATTTTCATAAGGAAGAATTTAAAAAACGTTTGTCGGCTGTTTTTTTTTCTTATCTGATTCCATTCCTATTTCGTAAACGAAGTCGTGATTCTCACGCGGTCAAATGATATATAATGCACAGAGGAAGTTGAACTTCAAAAACACAAGCTAAAAACGGAAAAGCTCCTAGTTGGTCTGGTCTGGAATTATGCGTTCGTATGCGATTAAGGGGAGAAGGTCGAAGAAATGAATAGCTGTTAAACTATTTTCAAATACCCTGTTAATAAACTAGGATTTTTTGAGCACTGTTATTCAGCGAAAATGAATTGACTAATTTTAGCTTTCATTTAATGCTAGTTTGACTTGTTTTGCTAAAATTTGTAGAATTGAACGAATAATTCGAATATCTGAAGGAATATTTCGATCAAAACGAAAGAAGAGTATCTGATCAAAAAATTCTTTTTTTTAGATGCATGTTACTAAACTCCACGGGCGAATCAAATGTTGTTTGATTTTTGTGCGGTGAACCCACATTGAATGCAGGGTAGATGCAGTGAATTGAGAGGTGTGTTTTTCTATTTTCATCCTCGATATTGGAGATTGAGTGGCAGCCAAAAATGAGAAGAGTGGTTAACTGTGTGAGAGCGAGCTGTCTCTTCGGCTCCAGTGGAGTCGGTGAACTGATGTTTATTCACATTCTGCAAATCCTGTCCGCTCTCCTCTTTTCAGTCGGTTTTTTCCTCACAAGACCTGAATTGAACAATCTTTCTCCGCCATCAGACGCATTAGCTCACGTTGGACTTAAACGGTTTGTTTGTTAATAATTGGTTACATAAAACGGTTTGTTTGTCTCTTAACATGATGTTTCGGTACAAGCGTGACACACGGGTTACAAGAAACTAACCGGGCCCCTAATGTAATCAATATGCTTCAAAATTGTTCAATTTATTGCTTCGTTGCTGCTTAGTTACGTTCGAGAAAAAAGTTTGAAAGGACTGCCCGGCGTGGTGCTAGGGATTTTAGCAGACCGGTTTTTTAGCAGACTCAGAACAATTATAAACTGTGATAGCTAACTTCAAACGCGGCATTGGCGATTAACGACCGCTTGCTCCGCTGCGCTTCAATCAACACGAGTGTTTTTGCGCGCGTAACTCTTTGTTTTGACGCTAATTTTTTGTTTTTTGAAGTTGATAGTTTTGTTGACAAATGGTGAGATAATTGACTTAATTGGGGAAGCGTGGCCCCAGACTGAGCGTCTCTTTGAGTCTGTCAATCAATCATGCATCACTTTATTACGTTGGTCTGCTAAAAGACTCATTATTCAATTTTTATGCTAAAGATTGGTCTGCTGAACGATCGGTCCCCGGCCGCCATATTCCGTCCGGCTCATTGCTGTATTTTGTTATAATTGGTGTTATTTGGGGGCCCTTCTCTCACACTAGCACCGATATTTTTAAATAAATTGGTCGCTTCTAAAAAAGGAAAGACGGTGAGGTGGCTGAGTCAGACTAAACTTTCAACTGTTTAGACAGGCTATAGAAGCCTTGGTGCCAGTATATTGTTGGAAAAAAGGAGGACGTGCAAAACAAAGCGTCTCGTCTGAATGTAGCCTGACAACGTTTTAACCATAATTTTTTTATAATTACAACTGCGAGCATTATCGAGGGTAGTGTAGTAAATAGTACGACTTTTCTTTTTCCAACCTAAGTCGCAGATATTAGTGCCCACTTTCGCGGCTTTTTGATAGAATGTGCCTTGACATTCGCTTGGTAATAAGCCTACAGAGTTGATGAATTTGTAATTATCGAATGAACAAAAAAAATCTGTGTCAAACAACAGTACACTAATTACCCTTGCTATAAGCAAGAGTATTGAATGAGTATCAATGAAAAAAGCGCCCAAATTGAATAATGATTTTCATAAATAGCTGCAAAATGAGATAAACAAAGACTATTGGTTAGCATAAATAGACTATTTTCTCTAATTGGTTAGCATAAATACCCTTGCGATAAGCAAGGGTATTGCAATCGTGTACTACACTTTTTTTCCGTAAACAACTTTTTCACAGGACTCTTTTCATTGAAGGACTCATGGCTTTTTTTGATCTGAATTCATTTCCTGCAGCCTCGCAGCAACCAATTTAAGGCTACTGATTTTTTTGTGCTTGTTAAGATTTTCAATATCTGTCTTGTTCGAATTGTTTTTGCCGTTTGTGATTTTGTTAAAATTTAACGTTTTTTTTCTTGTCATTTTTTTGGGGCTTGATAGGTTTCGGCCTAATTTATATCGGCTTCGTGGCCGCATATTGCGTTGTTAGACGAGCGAATTTTTTTGTGCTTGTGTTTTGAGGTCGGAGGGAAAACTTAATAAACTTTATAAGCCTCGTTGAATTTTTTCAGCTTAATTGGTTCCCTCTAAGGTTCTTTCGGCTTTGTTATCGCTCGGTAAATTTTGTTTCGGTAAATTTTATTTCGATGCAAGTTTTGTATTCTATTGTCTTGGCTAGTTTTTTATTTCAAAACTAGCCGTACTCATTTTGATAGATTTTTTGACATTTTCAATTTTTATCGACTTAGCGGCTTTCTTGTTTGTATCGCAAGTAGTACGAAGCTCAGCTTCGCCTCTGTGTCACAAAATTCAGAAACTTAGAGGTTTTTAAAATAAATATCGATGATTTCTTTAGTTAGGCCGTGATGATTTTTTCGCTATCGACTTTTTGACTCCAGATTTTTTAAAGTTCAATTCAACTTATTGGCTTCGAGAAAGGCTACTTATGCTTTCCGATATCAAAATCGTGAAGAACTTGGATTTTATTGGTTTTATGAAATTTGTGTTAGTTTTATGAAAAAAGTTCTTATCATTGAAGATTCTTGATATTCAAAGAGCCTTACCGTGATATTTTTTTGGGTTCTTTCAGGTCATTGACACTTTTCCGACTGACTGTTGGCTAAGTTTTTTAAAATTTAAAAATTTCGAAATGATTTTTTTTGGGTCTAATAGGCAAATTACACTCTATAATTACAAAAATTAAATAGCGCAAAACAACGTAATCAACTTTTGGTGCTAAAAATGGAAGTTTTTTGAAGTATCCAAGTAGATTGTATAAATGTTGCAGTGATCCAGATTTCTCGAACTGGTTATTTTTATCAAAAAATATCAATCGTGAAAGATTCATTACCCTTGTGAAAGCAAGGTAATTGCAATCGGGTACTAGTTTTTTTCGCCTAAAAAATTTTGTTCACAGGACTTGTATCTACCTTGTTTCATAATCTATTCAAATTTCTGAGCGTTCCCAGACTACTTAGCCTGGAGGAAACGAATATGCCGGGACCTTTTTTTTCAGACCGGAAATTATTTGTCTGCGTATATGTTGTCGGCTTAGTTGTCACATCTTGGAATCTTTTTTCGCTATGTGCGGTTTTCTTCAATGTTGCTTTAAGTGTTTGATTTACTCATACAGTTTTGTAAAATTTAATTCATCTTGACTTTGTATTTCCTTTGTTTTTTTTTTGTATCCTTAAAATAAATCCCTCGGCCAATTTTTTCGGCCACTTTTATAAGACTTTTTGACCTTAATTCGGATCGTTTCAAGATAAACACAAATATAGAATTCCCAATAGCAATTTTCAATTGGTTGTATCTTTGCCAATTGGGTTGTTGAAATGTCTTTTTTTTGTTTTGGGATTTTTTTTTTACTTTTTGCATAATTGTTGGTTTTTTTGTCACTTCTCGTTTTCAAAGCAATGGGAACCAATTGAAAGACTTTTTTCCCTGTGGGCATGCAGAACCTCCTTGCCTCTCTGTGTTTTACCTTACTGCCCACAGCCTTCGAAAAAGTCAGTGGGGGGAATGTTTGACCCATGTTTTTGGATTATTTTGTCGTTTTCTCAAAATCTACCACCCTAAATCTGAAATTTTGGTTTCAATGGATGGAACGTGTTATGGGTAGCTCAACTGCATAGTGGCTACGCCCATTTTTTTTCTTAGATTTTTTGCGGTCAATCGAACCTACAGATTGTATGAATCGCTTCTGCTCAAGCGGCTACGCCTAAATAAGGTATGATTTGCGGAACAGTTAAATTTTTGTCTTTTTTAATTTTGTTGGAAACTTTCCTCGACAACTACCCCTCCAATTCTTTGATTGTTTCGAGGGTCAATCGAGAAATCTGGTTCTGATAATATTTTGTTTTTAAGCGGCCACGACCTGCTCATTGCAGAAAAATGTGATAGATTTCGGAAAGTCAAATTTAAACTTTTGACCGTTTTTTCGGATTTTTTTGTTTTTCATTGAAACTATCCTATCAAATTTGAGATGAAGAGTTCAATCGAAAGAACCGGTTGTGAAAAATTTTCCTACAGAAGCCGCGAATCCTTTTTTTGAGGGAAACCTTTGAAATTTCTGATTTCATCCAGCATAAGTACATCAAATTCCAAAAATATCAAACAGCTACATCCAAGTTTTACTGGGCCTCTAGAATTATTTTTTGAGTATACCGACGTTTTGGTTTCTTTAGTTTTTTTCAGCATATTTTTTTCGACCTATTGTTTTTTTTTAATATTTGTTTTATATCGCAAGTGGTACGAAGCTCAGATTCGCTTCTATGTGAAAACTTGATTTGAGAAACTTTCCGACTCAATATATCTAGCAACTTTTTTGAAATTCAAAATTTTTTAATAATTTGGTTTTTAGTTTTCCGATTTGATAACATGCAAAGTTTATACTACAATCAATGTTAGGATGGCTTCAGTTTGTTATATTCCAAATTATTACATGAAAAGGGTGGAATCCCTCATGCGCGAAGGTCCGAATGCGCGATTCTATAAATCAGCCAATCAGTAAGCCAAAAAGAAAGTAAACATTTCCAGGGACTGGGGTATTGAGATTGTTCGAATATAAAAACGGCAGAAATATGAAAAATTTTAATATTGCCATTGACCGCCGCAAAATTGGGACAAATTTTACATTTCAAGGGTTTCGTAATGAAAGAAGCAAAATGATTCTTTATTTACTTCTTTTTAATTGAATGGCAACTGCTTCTTTTTGAAAATTGACTTTCGGCTAATTTTGTTTTCGATTTTTCGCACACAATTTTTTACGCGCATTCGGTCCTTCGCACATGAGAATAGCCCCCATGAAAAGTTGTATTTGTATTTAATGCCACTTTTGCTGCATTCCATTGGCATTTTATTAGCATATATAGCTGCTGTTTTCAAGCGTCCGTGGCCGAGAGGGCAGGGCGTCTGGCATCCAATCTCGAGGGCGCAGGTGTGAATACGAGAGATAGCAAAGTTTTACTAATTCGAGGCTTATCTTTACCTTTTTGTTAATTTTTATAAAGCTGCTTTTTTCGCCACGTTCTTGCGAGTATTTTGCGAAGCGCAGCTTTGCCTCTTAATTTTTGAAAGAAAAATTTAATTCAGTACTCTAACATTTTCAGTATAATTATGCGCGAATGAATTTGCTTATTTGTTCCCAGGTTCAACAAGACAATCATACTGGTGGTGGATGCCCTCAGATACGACTTCCTCTGCCCTACCCCCTCGATGTTCTGTCGTTCCCCCTCCCCCTCTCTACACTCGAATATGCACCTCGGAGATGAATTCCAGCGAGCTCCTGACGTGCCCCTTGTGCTGCAGCCTTATCATAATAATGTACCCTTCGTAGCTGAGGCACTTCGGGACTTCCCTGAGAACAATCTGCTACTCAAATTCATCGCAGATCCACCCACCACCACCATGCAAAGAATAAAAGTACTCACCATTTTAAGCTCAAAAGCCAAAGTAGCACAGTCGGTTATGCTCATAATTTTGCGGCATATCAAGTCTCCATATTGACTAGTTTGTTTATGTTTTGATTCGAAGTGGTGAAGTTCGTATAAAGAGCAGAGACCATTTTCAAGTTAACAAGAAGCAGGTTCATGTGCAAGCTCTCTTGTAGTATCCAGGGATTTGAACATATAAAAGTTCTCAGGTCTGGCGTTTGATTCCCACAGTGGAGGAGGTTAGGTTTTAAGGTCAAGTTTTCCATGTCTCTCATTGGCAGGAGGGTTTTTTTTAAAGAAGCCTTCAATCTTAGATCTGAGTTTTACTCATTATTTTAAAACCGCCTTAATCTATATCGATGATTTATTTCGTGTTTTTTTTGGAAATAGTGACTCCAAAAGTCAAGTTTTTGTTTGGGTGCTTTTACGACGTATTGTCAAGGATTCTTGTAATCCTCGACTTTATAGTTTTTGGTGTTTGCAGGGCATAGTGACGGGATCCCTGCCGACTTTCATAGATATGAGCAGGAACTTCGGGTCCGACAGAGTAGAGGAGGACAACCTGGTCAGTCAGCTAAACAGTCAGAGGAGTGACTGCTGTGTGTTCATGGGAGACGACACCTGGATGGGTCTCCTCGGAGACCACTTCCACGTCAAATATCCATACCCCTCATTCAATGTAAGTTAACTTAAGGTTAGTTTTTAAGGCAAAGTGTTTATAAGTTGTGAGGAACGGTGAAAGATAAGAAGTTAATTTTCAAATTTAGAGCCTGGTGATTTATTCCTCTTCAACTTTTGCTAGCATGATTATTGGCCTGGACGGAAGGTTTTATCAATCAAAATCTCAGTTCCGTACAAAGTTTCGAAATCAATTCAGCTTGCTAGTTGAATCTTGGGTTTTAATTATGATGGGAAGCGCATATCTTGGTTCATATCTTTGTTACACTAGCCAGCAGCGTAGTGTTTTAGTATGAACCTTCCATTTTTCTAACCCAACACGCAAATAAAAGTGTTCACTTATTAGGTGGCACTTTTGCTATAATCACGATCTGTAGCATTGGAAATTTCATAACATCTGTTCTCTGCTTTATTTGTGGCTAGTATCTGTAATTTATTGACCGGCCGTGGCTGTGGTTAGTGCGTGAGACTCATAATCTAAATTTTCATATAGAGATCGAATCCGAGACGTAGCTAAATTTTTACTTATTCGAGTCTTATTTCTACTGTCTGATTGCCTTTTATAGAGCTGCTTTTTGTCGTTTTCTCGCTAGTGTTTGCGAGTCTTTGTGTAGATAACGGTCTCTAAAACTGTGTTGCGAACTAGGTGATGGACTTGGACACAGTTGACAAAGGAGTCGTCAGTCACTTGATTCCAGAGATCCAAAACAGAAGTAGCAGTAAGGGGTGGAGTTTGATTGTGGCCCATTTGCTGGGTCTGGACCACGCTGGCCATAGATACAACCTGAACAACACTGCTATCGTCAACAAGCTCACAGAGTATAACCAGATCATCAAGTAAGATTGAAGTCTTGTAATTGTTCAGATTTGCAGATTCATTCGCTTAGCGTATTAGTACGAACGTTCTTTTTTTCCAACCTGAGTCGCAAATATTGGTACCACTTTTGGGGTATTTTTACAGCTTTTTGATAGCATGGGCTTTGACATCCGAAAACTAATAAGTTAACACAGTTGATCCATTTTTAATACATCAAATGAACCGAAAGAAGTGATTTGTTTCAAACAACATAACAATAATAAAAACTCGATTTCAGAAATTTTCTATCTCAATATATCTCGCAATTTTTTGAAAAGCATATTTTGACTTTATGCCTTGCGATTTGTTATATGCAAAGTTAGTGTGGATGCCTTCAGTTTGGTATAATCCAAATAATTACTTGCAAAATAGCATTGGCAATTATTAGCATATGTAGCTGCTTTATTTATGACTTGTTTTTTGTCGTTTGTTGAGCTTGCGTGGCTGAGTGGATAGTGTGTGAGACTCAAAGTCTCTTTAATGAAGTAGGTCCTAGCAGATCAAATCCTAGACCTAGCTTCGCGTGTGATGATTAAGCATTTAACCCTTCTCTATAGTGCGCACTCAGCCGCATTTATGAATAGAGAGTAGAGATTCAACTGTAGGTTTGCATTATCAACTCTTTCAGAAATAGGGACCCCATCAGAAGGGATTCGGCGAACCCTTTTTTTGTTAATACAGTGTTTCGATTTTCAGCACAGCTCTGAACGTCAAAAATTTGAAGGAAAATTTCAAGTTATTTGAACATTTTTTCCAGAAGAGATCATCTGAGATCTACTCTAGTTTGAGCTTCATTACCCTTGTGATAAGCAAGGGTTCTGCATTCGGATATTAAATGTTTTTTTTTCCAGTAAATAACTATTTTTACAGAATAGTCAGTTGCATCTTCATTAGCTGACATGCTCAATTTCTTGAAAGTTTAAATAAAACTGTTTTCATTTAGGCTGTTTTTAGGTGGAGTCCGTTTCAGGCAATAATCATGTTTTCGAAAAATTATGATTTCTTTTCGGGTTCGTGATTTTCGTCTCTGTTTTCTTCGGTACATCTGCTATATTTGTGGCTAGTGTTAGTGATTTATTAAGCGTCCGTTGCTGAGTGTTTAGTGCGTGATAGTCATATTCTCTAGGTCGCAGGATGAAGCCGAATTTTTAGTAAAACGAGGCTTATTTATACTTTTTTATTGCACTTCATAGAGCTGCTTTTTGTCGTGTTCTCGCTAGTGTTTGCGAAGCTTCGCTTCTGTGTAAATGTCATTTTCTTGTCAGGTAGGGTTTTGTTTCGACTGATTTTCTTGAATCTGGGTTTTGGTTTGATTAAAACAGTTTTACTATAACTGAAATTTTTGTAATTTTTAATTTTACCAAGTCGGATTTTGAAGTTTTATTTCGTTTTTTTTTCGGTTAAACAATTTTGAATTAGGATATCGGTTTTGACAACTTATATTGCGTAGTTTCGAGAGGGAAATATATTTAAAGCTGTTCTGTTTCGGTCAAATTTGAATATTATAGCTCAGTCAAGCAGTTATTTATTTATTTTTTTTTCGTTTTTCCTTTCTCCGTTTTGATGCTTGTTTGACTTTCAATTGTCTTACTTCTTGGCATTTTTGGTTAGATTTCTGGTCGGTTAGTATTTCATGCTATGTTTGTATTTTATTGCATGTATTGCGAAGCTTTTGTAGGTAAGTTTTCTAAAGGTGCAGTTAGTTCGGTTCTAATGGTTCGGTTATTTTTTTGCTACTTAATATTTTTGTTTTTCGTTTTTTGTTTTTCCATTGTCGGATCGTCTGCAAGTAGTGGTATTCATGCATTTCCCATCTCCAGTGGTGCGAAGGTCTGCTTCGCCTCTGTGTGAGATGAGACAATTGATCCGAAAGTGAAAGTACCAACATACGTGCTGTTCAGCTCGTCACGGAAAACCGCTGTTGCTCCTCTACCTAAGACTTAAACGCGTTTTTTTCTGGATAGATTGGGATTAAATGTGCATTGATTGGTTGTGATGCTAGATCTGTGAGTGAGGTAATGGATTCTGACACTCTGCTGGTGGTGATGGGAGACCACGGGATGACGTCATCGGGCGATCATGGGGGAGACACGCAAGCAGAGACTGAGGCTGCACTCTTCATGCACTCCAAGCCAACGTCAGTCTCCTGAAATATATTTGGACCGGTTTATCAAATTTCCAGAACTTTCAAATCGAAAAAATTCAAAGTCATGCTAAATCAGTTTTTGAGGTTTGGATTTTTGCCAATTGTATTCATCATAAATGTTTTTTACTGTGTCGCGATTGTGTTGGAGGAACTGACTTTTTGTTTGCGTTTTCTGATGTGTTGAGCGAAAAGAGTTGTAATCTATTGAAAAAATTCAAAAAAAAACATTTGGTAGTAGAAAAATTTTATCAAAGTGACAAAGCCTTAATTTAAAAAATATTTACAATTAATTTAGCTCTGGATTGGGTAGTGGACATAGGAGAGGCAATGTTAGAAGTGGAGGAAGAGGTGAGAAAGCAAAGAGCAGCACACAACGGGATCACATCCTCATCAATTGGGAGCTAGTACAGACCAAGTTGCTTGGGGCCAATGGAGAAGCATCGCCTGTGAGTTTTGTTAAAATAACTTGCAGGGGCTATTTTGATAAAGTTGAAATTCATTTTAATTCAGGTTCAAGTATTGTTTTTTACTTGAACTGACTACTTGTATTTAAGTTCTGAATACGCTTGTAGAGTAGATGGAACTATGGCGTGGCTGGGTTTTTTTTGAGGTCAATAACGACTACCTCAAAGATAATTAGCAGGGTACGTATCGTAGTGTAAGTGTGGTATCATTTTAAAAATCTTTCACCTGTGATCCTCTTATGAAAAAAAATTTAAAAAATTACACGGTCGAAAAAAAACAGATCTGCATGTTTGTTTTTGCTTTCAGATAAAATTTCAGCTGATTTTCAGACTGATTTTACTTTTTCATTACCAACCTGATTTTGGAGCAGTGTTTCAAAAGTTCAAATTTTTTAAATAAGAGTCAATGAACGCAATGAAGGCTCTTATATGGTCGCGATGATTTTTGCTTGTTATCTTACAATTTGTTCACGCTCAAATTTGATTTTTCGCAGGTTGACTTTTCATTGTTCCGATCATTTGAAAAACGTGGGGGAACTTAGGGTTCGAGTGTGTTTTAATGTTTTTCCATGCAAAATCAGGTACCACAAAAAAGCATCGGAATGGGTCGAGTAATACCAAATTGAAGTCCTCTCAGTCAATATTCGAACGACATTAAAAATTCAAGAAAAACTGGTTTAAATTTTTTATTTGGATTTGAAATTTTTTATTTGGATAAAAAAAAAGTCAGTGTTTTTTTTTCTTTTTACTTGCGTGCATTGATTCTTTTCCATCTTTCTTTCTTTTACTAAGTTTTGCTCAGAGGTTAACTTCGATCCACCACGGCTGCACACGAAAGTAGCAGACAAATTGAAAAAGCAAAATACCAAATGTATTTTTACTAGACTTCATAATTTTTTTCATACTATTACCACCTGCGGTTTCAGGGGGGAGGGGTTGCGGACACCCCTCCCCCCCGCTTCAGGGATTCCACCCGTTGCCGACGCAAAGGGTCCCCCTTGTAGTATTTGAGAAATCCAGTTTTGGCTGACTGACCCTAAAATTTTTCTAGAGAAGCCTTCGTTGCCATAATATACTAATTTCGAGGGAGAGCGCCCACCGAAAAAGCGCGATTTTTCGGTCAAAATTTCCAGAAAGTGCCTAAAAACGCCTTTTTGGCCTGTTTTTTTTTCCTAAAATTTGGTCAAAATGGGGTCCTGTTAGTGATTTGGGAGAGCTCAGAACATAATTTTGTTCGACCTATAAAAATAAATTCCGCTTCCCCTCGAGAAAATTGTAGATCCTTCTTCTGCGAATCACCGTAGAACTTTTTTTTCAATGGTTTCTATTTAGACATGCTCAAGACACGCTTTTCTAGCGATGATATTTATGATAAGCATGTGGCTTTTGAATTGCCAAGGGACACTTGGTTTCCGAGCAATCTCTAAATTAAATCATCAATGAGAAGTGTGTTTTTATGTTTCAGCTGTCGGTGTCTCAGATAGATCTGGTGTCTACTCTGTCAGTTCTGATGGGAGTTCCGATTCCATTCTCGAACCTGGGATCCGTAATACCCTACTTGTTTCTTGATAATGCTACCCTACAGCAGGCACTGGATGCCAACATAGCGCAGATTACTAGATTCATGGAGTCAGAAGGATCACAGTTCTCAAGTAAAAAGAATTGTTTATCAATCAAACTGATTGAAAGTATGAACCTTAATGATCGGTTGATGTGCAAATATAACCACAGTTTCCGACTTCTGTTATTTTTAAAAAGAACTTAAAAAGAAACAATTTTCTATTTTTTTCCAATTATTTTTCTTTCATGCATGATTTGAGATTGTATCTTAAAGTGAGCTTACAGCATATGTAATCACTTTCATTAATTACAGTTATCATTGCAAATGAAATAAAAAGAAAACGTATTTCATTTTGTATCTTTCAGTACGATTGAAATTGAGTTTGTTTTTCCGGTAACAAATGAATTGCCGAACTTTTTTCTTACAAAATCAGTTTTTTTGTCTGCTCAAGTGGTGTCTGCTGAAAGATAGTCGGCTTTGTATCCGCTTAAGTTGTGTTCAGTTGCCAATTTAATTTTCAAATGTATTGCTTGGTAAGTTTGCCTAGTTTGAACTTTAATCGAGACATGCGAAGTTTTTGGTGGACCTAGTTTCATTTTTTGAACTTCATGCGTTTTTTACGCTTGCCATTAGCAAGCGATAGTCAAATCGGAATATCGACTGTTTTCGGGTTAACAACTTATTTAACAGAATCATTTGAATCAATTGGTATCTTGGTTCATAATGAATTCAAGTTTCTAAGAGTCTCCGGTGCGCTTAGCCTGGAGGTTAAGAATAGGACCGGAACGCCAAAGGTACTGGGTTCGAATCCACCAGGACCTTTTTTTCAAACAGTAAAGTCCGTTTCAAAAAAAAAACGGTCGGCTTCATATTGTCCGCTTATGTTTTGTCGGCTTAGTTGCCATATTGTAGAAATATTTTTCAAAGTTTTTGGACTTCATAGTTGCTTTTAGTGTTGTGATTTACCTCTGTTGTTTGTAATTTAACTAAACTTGACTTCGTATGTTTTCTTTTTTTGTTTTTTTTTATTGTTTAAAAACTTTATTCTGCCCAAATGAGTTCGGCCTATTTTTATCGGCTTAGTTACTCAATTTTGATTCTTTGCAATGGAAACTTATTTTTTATGCTGGATCGCACAAGATGTAAAAATCTATTTATATTTATAGTTCAAATCTTTTAAGATAACATTTTTTTCCGGCTTTTTTGTTTTTCCTTCTTTCGCCTTCATAGGTTTCGGCCTAAATTATATAGGTTTATTGGCCTCATTTTGTGTCTTTCGACGAGCTGAAAAGTTTTGTGTGTGCGTGTCTGTATTTTGAGGTTGAGGAGGACCTAATAACTTTGTAATAGTCTTAGATTTTTTTGGCTTTTTTTGTTTTCCTTTTTTGTGCTGAATAGGTTTCGGCCTATGTTATATCGGTTTAGTGGCCTCATATTGTTTCATTTGACGAACAAATAAAGGTTTTTATATGATGTGGACTAATTAACTTTTCAGAAGTCTGAAGTATTGTTGATTTTTTTTTCGGCTAAAGGGTTTCTGACAAGGTATTTTGGGCTTTGTTACCGCTGGGTACCTTATCTTCCGATGCTTATTTCACATTCTATTGTATTGGCATGTTTTTGTTTCAAACTATCCTTATTCATTTTGATAATCTAGTTTTTTTTTTATTTCAGTTTTGTTTCTTGTTTTGTATCGCACGTTGTGCGAAGCTCAGCTTCGCCTCTGTGTTTTTAGTTGTGTTTTATGGCAAGTGATGCGAATCTCCGTTTCACCACTGTGTGGAAGTTGGAATCTTTCTGTGAAAACCATTATGACCACCATTTGTCTGCTTATTTTACTCGTTTTCTTTCATGGCATTGACTTTTCTTGCGATTTTTCATCAGTTTTAACAAAATTGAATGTATGTATTTTTGGTAGGCGCTTCTTTTCCAGTTCTTTTTGGATCTACCAAAATTGAGGTTTGCCTCTGTGTTCATTTTTGGTGCAGGAGAAATTGAGAATAAAGCTTCAAAATTACGATTTGCCAAATTTAAGATTTTGTCAAAATTACGATCTACAAAAATTAATATTTGCCTATTGTATGCATTTTTGTGCAGAAGTGGAGAGGAGAAATTCTTCAAAAATTAGTTTTTTTTCTGCATAAATGTGTTCATTCAGCTGATTAAACAGCTTTTATCTTTACATGCTCAAAATTGATCTCGAAATCCGTTTTTCAAACGATGATTTTTGACTTAAATTTAAGGGCTTGATTTGTATATATCACTCGGATCTACCTGATATTTAGCGTGAAACATTTTTTAAGCGAAAGTACTTCCAGTTTATAAGTCCTTCTCACTTCGTCTTTGGAACAAGGTGAGCTAGTTGGTTTGTATTTTAGTAGAGCGAAATGTTTCGTTCGCTATAGTTACTTTGTTTAGTTTTTTGCTGTCATATTTGTTCCGACCATTGAAAATTGTGAGGACTTTGTATTCGGGTGTGTTTGTTTCTTTTTCTTCGCAAAATGAGGTACCATAAATAATCTGGGACTGGATGTAGTGATATATCATATTGAAGCCCTCTTAGTGGTGATTGGAACTACATTAAAAATTTCTTAAAAATTTTTCTTGTCGAGAAAAACTGGTTTGAAATTTTCAATTTTTGGTCGATTTCAAACGACGAAAGGCAGCGATCAGGCTTTTTATGCCTAATTTAGGCAGTTTAAAATAGCTCAATTATGCGTAACTTTCTGCAAAAAAAATTTTTAAAAAGATTTTTTTTTGTTAATTTATTTTACTTCAAAAATTGTTGTCCGGTTTGCCTATATTACTATGACTGTCCAAGATGCCGAAAATATAGTTGTTCGTCAGATCCTTGTATCACACCCTGCAGAAAGACTATGGTCGGAACATTCTGTGCTATTTGCACAGTTACCGGCTATCCTTGTTTTCATTTATCCTTATCTACGAAGTGATTTAAGGACGAGTTTTGTGTTAGTTTTGGCAAAATTGTAAGCTTTATTCACCGTTATAAAAATGTAAAAGAAGAGTTGAATTATAAGTTTTTTAGCTTAATTAATTGTGATAATTTTTGTTCCTTTTTTTCCAGGATGAGGACCTAATGTTCGTTCATGCTCAAATTTTGGTTTTTGGCGTGTTCATTTTGGTTAATTTTAGAATTTCAGTTCATTTTCTTTGTTAAAATGAAGGCAAACTGAAGTATTGAACAAGAAAATAGCAAAGGTCTTGAAAAACGTGAATGAATTCTTGTTTCAGAACTGGAGTTTAATTTTCTGAATTCATAGCGAAATAAACAAATACCTACTAGTTCAGTTTTTTTCTAAGTCAGATAACGTAAAGAAACAGGTTCCAATCATAAACGGATTTTCAAAATCAGAAAGATTCTAGATTTATTTTTTCTTTGAAAATTGAAAAAATTTGCGAAAATTTGCAATCAAATTTTTTCAATGGTTCAATGAATCCTATTCTTATGCAATCGTTTTTTTTGCTTATTTTAGCTATTTTTACTGATTTGGGTAGCTTAGTCTCAACCCCCGTTAGTTACAAGAGAGCGGCAAATAAAGCGGCGGAAAATAGAAGAAATGGTTTTCGTATCCTAAAATTTTTTTCAACAAATGCCTGTTGATGAAATTCTGAACAAAGTAGACTTCTGCTAGTTGATAATAGATGAAATGTTTCAGGTTTTTCAGCGGACCCTAGCGCCCTCTCGACAATAGAGGAAAAACTGCTCTTTCTAAAGGAAGTATCGGCATCGTATCGCAAATTATGGGCTACATTCGACATGCCACTTATCATCCTAGGCATAGCAGCGATGACAAATGCATGTTTACTTCACGTATGTTTCATACACTATCGAATGAAAACTAAAACGACTATAGCAACAAAATCAGAGCACAATCTAAACGGAGTTTGCAGTCACGATTACCAAATTCGATCTGCAGACTCAGAAAAAACTGAAATTTTTTCGGCAGGGAAAGAAAATTTTACTCGCCAAATGTCCTTTTTCAGCCTTACAAGTTGCACAATAACTCTGCTTGCTTCAATCTTGACAGCGTTTCATTACCCTCCGTATGTGATAGCTCTAGTGTCGCCTTTAGTTTTCTCTCTGCTAAGTCTCACAAAGCCGAACCTTTTCTACATATTTCACAACTCTGCCGAAATGTTTTATATTTTGCTGCCAACCTTGCTGTACGGCCTCATTTCAGGGTCGAACAGTTTCATTTTGAACGAAACACAATGTTTGCTTTTTCTTTCGAACGCTCTCGTTATTTTCTTGGTTGTGTACGGGGGAAGATCGACAACATTTAAGCTATCCACGTCTCTTTACTCTGTAGCCTTGATAGCGGGATGCAACTTTATTAGTCGAAGTTTCATACAGCATCCGGAAAGCGAGGAACTGAACCCTATCTTGGAACCCCTGTCAAGTTTAACGCAAGATGTAGCTCATCAGAGGTTGTTGCTGACTGCAATATGTCTTGTAGCTTTTGTATTGCTGACATTGAAAAATCTGTTTCGAACGGAGAATTTGAACTCGCAGTATTTTAACCTGGTGTCTACATGGTTTACAGCGGCGCTCCCAGTTTGCGCTCTGTGTATCATTTTGTTCTGGCTTCAGTCGTTGCAGTCACACAGCGTGTACGAAGCTCAAAGTGATAGGATCAAAGTTCTCTTCCCCAGAACAGTGTACCTCATAGTCGTATTAGGATTCGCCCTGTTTCTATGTGAGCCTATTTTGGTTCATGTGCAACGCATCAGGTGTAGCAAGGTACCCCAAATATCTCTGGAACAATTCGACCCGGAAACAGATCCAGCTAAGCTGATACCCCAAATTGCCAAAACTCTTTTCCCTAGCTCGCCGTCTGCTTCGAAAAATGGGTCTGCAAAGCACAACTGGAAGTTCAAAAAGGGAAATGCGAGACAGCACAATGGAGTTGTACAGCAAAATGGGTCTCTCAAAACCGCCCATGTTGAGAACTCGGAAGAATCGAGTCGCAGCTCATCGGGTGATTAGATGCAATAAGTGACATTTTCTGTATTCGTTCAGAAACGACAACCAATAACTGATATATTCTCTAAAATAAATGCGAAAGCAATCACTTTAAGTTAGTTTTTTCATAATAGTAGCCCCAAGAATGTTGCCTTAGTTTCCTTTACTTAATCTATCATTACAAATGAATAGACAATACTTTTTTGCAGTCGGAAATAGTAATGTAATTAGCATAGTTGTCACAATGGCGCTTATTGCAACATATCACCGTTAATTAGTGTCCAACTTGAGCAAGAGATCTCGCAATAGTACGCTCACTCAATCTAGTGCCGTGGCTAATAACGCGCATCAGCATTCTCTGCCAAAACAGCCAGTGATGGGAGCCAGGAAGTTCTTCCACGTGGTCGGTTTGAGCTCCACAGCTTTGGCCTCCTGGCATCTGGTCTCAAGTAAGATCCAAGTTTGAATACCAGCAACTCAATAGCTGTTCTCCATAAAGAGCTGAAGAACAGCTAGTGCCTCTTTTCCACTTTCCCACCCCCTTTATTAAGTTACAAAATAAACATGTTCAAAAACTGCTCACGCGGCGTTTTTTATGTAAAAATTTGTTCACCTGTTCACGCCGACACGCTTTGATGCAGTTATTGCATAAAAAGTCATTTTAAATAGATTTTCAAAAATATAATTTCAGAAAAGTTCAAAGGGGGAACTGGAAAAGAGGCCAGCTAGTATGTTGGTCCTTTCATAGTGGTAAATTGTCTTAACTGTATGTTTCATCTTATGGGTCCCCTCGACATATCCCCCCTCCGTCTCATTGGAACCTAGTTTTAAGTAAAATGAGTATGATTTGCATATCATTTGCACCTTTAAAGTTTAATTGGATTGACAAATATGTTTTAACTCGAAGCTTAGGTCTAAATTTCAGGTTTAACTTTTGAAATTGCTGCTAAAATGCTGCTTTTTCTTCAAAAGTTTTGAACATTTTCCTGACCTTTTTGGTCGAACAAATTGTTTTCCCGAGCTCTCTTAAAACACAGTTAAGACCCAATTTTTACAAAAAGTTCTGCGCTACAGGTACCTCGGAAATCTCAAGGAACCTCGTGCAAACATTTCAGTCGTGATTCGGATTCCAATTTCGTTTTCATACAAGCGAACGTTTGTGATATACTGTGAAATCAATTTTTCCAACCTAAGTCGAAAAAATGTGCGCTGAATTTTTGTATATGATTACTTCCTCCTTCGGGAGTCGTCGATTCGAAACAAGTCGTCAGTTGTTTTCGACGCTTTTTAATTATTTTTTTTGTTTTTAATTCCGAATTGAATTTTGCTTCTGGGTAGAAGATTTTTTACGTATCGAGAAAAGGTTATCTGAGTTTTTAGGGTCAATGAAATTAGTTAAGACACGTATATAAATTGTGATTTTTTTAAAAAAAATTTTTCGGAAAAGTTTGCCGCTTAGTTGTTTTTCGCATTTTGAATTTGTTTGTTTGAATGGAAGGCAAACTCCACTATCGAAGGGCAAAAGTGTTACGGCCACAAAAACCGTGATTGACATCTAGTTTCAAAGTTGGATTTTGTTTTTTTCTGAATTTCCAGCGGAATGAAAAACTGTCTATTTATCCACTTTTCTGTAAATGGGATAATATAATATCAAGGAAAAAGGTCAATAAAAATTTGAATTGCCGAACTTTTTTCTTACAAAATCAGTTTTTTTTGTCTGCTCAAGTGGTGTCTGCTGAAAGATAGTCGGCTTTGTATCCGCTTAAGTTGTGTTCAGTTGCCAATTTAATTTTCAATTGTATTGCTTGGTAAGTTTGCCTAGTTTGAACTTTAATCGAGACATGCGAAGTTTTTGGTGGACCTAGTTTCATTTTTTGAACTTCATGCGTTTTTTACGCTTGCCATTAGCAAGCGATAGTCAAATCGGAATATCGACTGTTTTCGGGTTAACAACTTATTTAACAGAATCATTTGAATCAATTGGTATCTTGGTTCATAATGAATTCAAGTTTCTAAGAGTCTCCGGTGCGCTTAGCCTGGAGGTTAAGAATAGGACCGGAACGCCAAAGGTACTGGGTTCGAATCCACCAGGACCTTTTTTTCAAACAGTAAAGTCCGTTTCAAAAAAAACGGTCGGCTTCATATTGTCCGCTTATGTTTTGTCGGCTTAGTTGCCATATTGTAGAAATATTTTTCAAAGTTTTTGGACTTCATAGTTGCTTTTAGTGTTGTGATTTACCTCTGTTGTTTGTAATTTAACTAAACTTGACTTCGTCTGTTTTCTTTTTTGTTTTTTTTTATTGTTTAAAAACTTTATTCTGCCCAAATGAGTTCGGCCTATTTTTATCGGCTTAGTTACTCAATTTTGATTCTTTGCAATGGAAACTTATTTTTTATGCTGGATCGCACAAGATGTAAAAATCTATTTATATTTATAGTTCAAATCTTTTAAGATAACATTTTTTTCCGGCTTTTTTGTTTTTCCTTCTTTCGCCTTCATAGGTTTCGGCCTAAATTATATAGGTTTATTGGCCTCATTTTGTGTCTTTCGACGAGCTGAAAAGTTTTGTGTGTGCGTGTCTGTATTTTGAGGTTGAGGAGGACCTAATAACTTTGTAATAGTCTTAGATTTTTTTGGCTTTTTTTGTTTTCCTTTTTTGTGCTGAATAGGTTTCGGCCTATGTTATATCGGTTTAGTGGCCTCATATTGTTTCATTTGACGAACAAATAAAGGTTTTTATATGATGTGGACTAATTAACTTTTCAGAAGTCTGAAGTATTGTTGATTTTTTTTTCGGCTAAAGGGTTTCTGACAAGGTATTTTGGGCTTTGTTACCGCTGGGTACCTTATCTTCCGATGCTTATTTCACATTCTATTGTATTGGCATGTTTTTGTTTCAAACTATCCTTATTCATTTTGATAATCTAGTTTTTTTTTTATTTCAGTTTTGTTTCTTGTTTTGTATCGCACGTTGTGCGAAGCTCAGCTTCGCCTCTGTGTTTTTAGTTGTGTTTTATGGCAAGTGATGCGAATCTCCGTTTCACCACTGTGTGGAAGTTGGAATCTTTCTGTGAAAACCATTATGACCACCATTTGTCTGCTTATTTTACTCGTTTTCTTTCATGGCATTGACTTTTCTTGCGATTTTTCATCAGTTTTAACAAAATTGAATGTATGTATTTTTGGTAGGCGCTTCTTTTCCAGTTCTTTTTGGATCTACCAAAATTGAGGTTTGCCTCTGTGTTCATTTTTGGTGCAGGAGAAATTGAGAATAAAGCTTCAAAATTTCGATTTGCCAAATTTAAGATTTTGTCAAAATTACGATCTACAAAAATTAATATTTGCCTATTGTATGCATTTTTGTGCAGAAGTGGAGAGGAGAAATTCTTCAAAAATTAGTTTTTTTTCTGCATAACTGTGTTCATTCAGCTGATTAAACAGCTTTTATCTTTACATGCTCAAAATTGATCTCGAAATCCGTTTTTCAAACGATGATTTTTGACTTAAATTTAAGGGCTTGATTTGTATATATCACTCGGATCTACCTGATATTTAGCGTGAAACATTTTTTAAGCGAAAGTACTTCCAGTTTATAAGTCCTTCTCACTTCGTCTTTGGAACAAGGTGAGCTAGTTGGTTTGTATTTTAGTAGAGCGAAATGTTTCGTTCGCTATAGTTACTTTGTTTAGTTTTTTGCTGTCATATTTGTTCCGACCATTGAAAATTGTGAGTACTTTGTATTCGGGTGTGTTTGTTTCTTTTTCTTCGCAAAATGAGGTACCATAAATAATCTGGGACTGGATGTAGTGATATATCATATTGAAGCCCTCTTAGTGGTGATTGGAACTACATTAAAAATTTCTTAAAAATTTTTCTTGTCGAGAAAAACTGGTTTGAAATTTTCAATTTTTGGTCGATTTCAAACGACGAAAGGCAGCGATCAGGCTTTTTATGCCTAATTTAGGCAGTTTAAAATAGCTCAATTATGCGTAACTTTCTGCAAAAAAAAATTTTAAAAAGATTTTTTTTTGTTAATTTATTTTACTTCAAAAATTGTTGTCCGGTTTGCCTATATTACTATGACTGTCCAAGATGCCGAAAATATAGTTGTTCGTCAGATCCTTGTATCACACCCTGCAGAAAGACTATGGTCGGAACATTCTGTGCTATTTGCACAGTTACCGGCTATCCTTGTTTTCATTTATCCTTATCTACGAAGTGATTTAAGGACGAGTTTTGTGTTAGTTTTGGCAAAATTGTAAGCTTTATTCACCGTTATAAAAATGTAAAAGAAGAGTTGAATTATAAGTTTTTTAGCTTAATTAATTGTGATAATTTTTGTTCCTTTTTTTCCAGGATGAGGACCTAATGTTCGTTCATGCTCAAATTTTGGTTTTTGGCGTGTTCATTTTGGTTAATTTTAGAATTTCAGTTCATTTTCTTTGTTAAAATGAAGGCAAACTGAAGTATTGAACAAGAAAATAGCAAAGGTCTTGAAAAACGTGAATGAATTCTTGTTTCAGAACTGGAGTTTAATTTTCTGAATTCATAGCGAAATAAACAAATACCTACTAGTTCAGTTTTTTTCTAAGTCAGATAACGTAAAGAAACAGGTTCCAATCATAAACGGATTTTCAAAATCAGAAAGATTCTAGATTTATTTTTTCTTTGAAAATTGAAAAAATTTGCGAAAATTTGCAATCAAATTTTTTCAATGGTTCAATGAATCCTATTCTTATGCAATCGTTTTTTTTGCTTATTTTAGCTATTTTTACTGATTTGGGTAGCTTAGTCTCAACCCCCGTTAGTTACAAGAGAGCGGCAAATAAAGCGGCGGAAAATAGAAGAAATGGTTTTCGTATCCTAAAATTTTTTTCAACAAATGCCTGTTGATGAAATTCTGAACAAAGTAGACTTCTGCTAGTTGATAATAGATGAAATGTTTCAGGTTTTTCAGCGGACCCTAGCGCCCTCTCGACAATAGAGGAAAAACTGCTCTTTCTAAAGGAAGTATCGGCATCGTATCGCAAATTATGGGCTACATTCGACATGCCACTTATCATCCTAGGCATAGCAGCGATGACAAATGCATGTTTACTTCACGTATGTTTCATACACTATCGAATGAAAACTAAAACGACTATAGCAACAAAATCAGAGCACAATCTAAACGGAGTTTGCAGTCACGATTACCAAATTCGATCTGCAGACTCAGAAAAAACTGAAATTTTTTCGGCAGGGAAAGAAAATTTTACTCGCCAAATGTCCTTTTTCAGCCTTACAAGTTGCACAATAACTCTGCTTGCTTCAATCTTGACAGCGTTTCATTACCCTCCGTATGTGATAGCTCTAGTGTCGCCTTTAGTTTTCTCTCTGCTAAGTCTCACAAAGCCGAACCTTTTCTACATATTTCACAACTCTGCCGAAATGTTTTATATTTTGCTGCCAACCTTGCTGTACGGCCTCATTTCAGGGTCGAACAGTTTCATTTTGAACGAAACACAATGTTTGCTTTTTCTTTCGAACGCTCTCGTTATTTTCTTGGTTGTGTACGGGGGAAGATCGACAACATTTAAGCTATCCACGTCTCTTTACTCTGTAGCCTTGATAGCGGGATGCAACTTTATTAGTCGAAGTTTCATACAGCATCCGGAAAGCGAGGAACTGAACCCTATCTTGGAACCCCTGTCAAGTTTAACGCAAGATGTAGCTCATCAGAGGTTGTTGCTGACTGCAATATGTCTTGTAGCTTTTGTATTGCTGACATTGAAAAATCTGTTTCGAACGGAGAATTTGAACTCGCAGTATTTTAACCTGGTGTCTACATGGTTTACAGCGGCGCTCCCAGTTTGCGCTCTGTGTATCATTTTGTTCTGGCTTCAGTCGTTGCAGTCACACAGCGTGTACGAAGCTCAAAGTGATAGGATCAAAGTTCTCTTCCCCAGAACAGTGTACCTCATAGTCGTATTAGGATTCGCCCTGTTTCTATGTGAGCCTATTTTGGTTCATGTGCAACGCATCAGGTGTAGCAAGGTACCCCAAATATCTCTGGAACAATTCGACCCGGAAACAGATCCAGCTAAGCTGATACCCCAAATTGCCAAAACTCTTTTCCCTAGCTCGCCGTCTGCTTCGAAAAATGGGTCTGCAAAGCACAACTGGAAGTTCAAAAAGGGAAATGCGAGACAGCACAATGGAGTTGTACAGCAAAATGGGTCTCTCAAAACCGCCCATGTTGAGAACTCGGAAGAATCGAGTCGCAGCTCATCGGGTGATTAGATGCAATAAGTGACATTTTCTGTATTCGTTCAGAAACGACAACCAATAACTGATATATTCTCTAAAATAAATGCGAAAGCAATCACTTTAAGTTAGTTTTTTCATAATAGTAGCCCCAAGAATGTTGCCTTAGTTTCCTTTACTTAATCTATCATTACAAATGAATAGACAATACTTTTTTGCAGTCGGAAATAGTAATGTAATTAGCATAGTTGTCACAATGGCGCTTATTGCAACATATCACCGTTAATTAGTGTCCAACTTGAGCAAGAGATCTCGCAATAGTACGCTCACTCAATCTAGTGCCGTGGCTAATAACGCGCATCAGCATTCTCTGCCAAAACAGCCAGTGATGGGAGCCAGGAAGTTCTTCCACGTGGTCGGTTTGAGCTCCACAGCTTTGGCCTCCTGGCATCTGGTCTCAAGTAAGATCCAAGTTTGAATACCAGCAACTCAATAGCTGTTCTCCATAAAGAGCTGAAGAACAGCTAGTGCCTCTTTTCCACTTTCCCACCCCCTTTATTAAGTTACAAAATAAACATGTTCAAAAACTGCTCACGCGGCGTTTTTTATGTAAAAATTTGTTCACCTGTTCACGCCGACACGCTTTGATGCAGTTATTGCATAAAAAGTCATTTTAAATAGATTTTCAAAAATATAATTTCAGAAAAGTTCAAAGGGGGAACTGGAAAAGAGGCCAGCTAGTATGTTGGTCCTTTCATAGTGGTAAATTGTCTTAACTGTATGTTTCATCTTATGGGTCCCCTCGACATATCCCCCCTCCGTCTCATTGGAACCTAGTTTTAAGTAAAATGAGTATGATTTGCATATCATTTGCACCTTTAAAGTTTAATTGGATTGACAAATATGTTTTAACTCGAAGCTTAGGTCTAAATTTCAGGTTTAACTTTTGAAATTGCTGCTAAAATGCTGCTTTTTCTTCAAAAGTTTTGAACATTTTCCTGACCTTTTTGGTCGAACAAATTGTTTTCCCGAGCTCTCTTAAAACACAGTTAAGACCCAATTTTTACAAAAAGTTCTGCGCTACAGGTACCTCGGAAATCTCAAGGAACCTCGTGCAAACATTTCAGTCGTGATTCGGATTCCAATTTCGTTTTCATACAAGCGAACGTTTGTGATATACTGTGAAATCAATTTTTCCAACCTAAGTCGAAAAAATGTGCGCTGAATTTTTGTATATGATTACTTCCTCCTTCGGGAGTCGTCGATTCGAAACAAGTCGTCAGTTGTTTTCGACGCTTTTTAATTATTTTTTTTGTTTTTAATTCCGAATTGAATTTTGCTTCTGGGTAGAAGATTTTTTACGTATCGAGAAAAGGTTATCTGAGTTTTTAGGGTCAATGAAATTAGTTAAGACACGTATATAAATTGTGATTTTTTTAAAAAAAATTTTTCGGAAAAGTTTGCCGCTTAGTTGTTTTTTTCGCATTTTGACTTTGTTTGTTTGAATGGAAGGCAAACTCCACTATCGAAGGGCAAAAGTGTTACGGCCACAAAAACCGTGATTGACATCTAGTTTCAAAGTTGGATTTTGTTTTTTTCTGAATTTCCAGCGGAATGAAAAACTGTCTATTTATCCACTTTTCTGTAAATGGGATAATATAATATCAAGAAAAAAGGTCAATAAAAATTTTAAAGAGCTTAAACGTGGTATGTTTCCTTCAAAATCTGAAAGTTATAAAAATCAATCATTTTTTCGGTTCTGCATTGACACTTTTCCAACTGTTCCTTGACTATGTTTTGAAATTCAGACAAAAATGTAACAAAGAGCAGATTTTTGAGTGACCAGCTTCTCTTTATTAATTTTTTTTTCTACTTTTTTACTTATGTATGGGAAGTACAGCTTCGCTTCTGTGTTCAATAGTTTTTGGTGTTAAAGTACGCAGAACTTAAAATTTACATATTTTTTTCTTTTTCAGCGCCAGCAATCATTCTGCTGTATCTACTAGTTGGCAACGGTTCCTCTCTCGCTTTCTCAATAATGATTCTACATGCTCAAGCCTTATGTCAAATCGCAACAACTGCAATGCACCAGAAAGAGGAAGAAACTCAATCATCCAATACTGTTTCTAGTCAAGTAGAGAATAATGGAAGAAGCTCGCAACTGTCGTCCAATCATCAGTCAGAACCGAGAGTAACCACCAAGTTGAAAGTCGAAACAGAAGAGAGATTGAATGTCGATGGGGGAAGAGGTTATTTTGTAGTTAATGCCAGAATATAGGGAAGTTGAAGGTTCTTTTCACTAAATAGATCGTCAAGATTTGGTAGGGTCAAGGTAATTTTCTATGCATGCATTCAGTTCGTATTTTTTTGCTTCCTGTTTTTTCATTAGTGTTTGTTTTTACAGTTATCGATTTATAAATATTTTACTCCATATTTCGTGTAGTTTTTAAAAACGGTTAATAAGAGGAATTTTTAAGGATTTTAATTACGCACTAAAGGGTTCGCCTGGACGATTGCGGTCTAAGTCACCGATGTTTTGTCCGACATTAATTTGGCATTAACTCTGAAATAATACAAGAAGCATTTGACCCGTGTGCTGTGGTGTCTTTTGTGGGTGGCGTGGCGATTTCTTTGCTGGGCAGTTACTACTTTTACGTCACAGGGCATCAACTCTCAATCGCATCAATTCGGTTCGAAACTGGATACATCGGTTAGTTTATAATTTTGACCAATTTTTGCATGCATATTTGAGTTTTAGGTGACATTGAGACACATTCTGTCAAAAAAATTTAGTGTTTTTTTCTTTTTATTTGAGTTCATTGACTCTTTTCCAACTGTCTATTAGCTGTTTTATTAACAACTTAGAGGTTGAAATATATCCATCATTTTTTTTGTACCTAGACATGAGTTTGTTGAGATTTAAGCACTTGCGAAAACCATGTTTTTTTAAGGGGAGATATATTTTTTTGCCTTAAAAAACAGTTCATACACTTTGTAAGAATTTAAGCTTGCTCTTTTATGATACCTTAATTATTCCAGCAACCTCTTACTTTCTCTTCAATTAATAATTTTGACTTTCTTTACGACTAGGTTAACAAGGGTATTATTACCTTGGTGTAAAAGACATTTTTAGGTGGACAATTTCTACTAGGAGTAATTTTTTCGGTCATCCAGCTGAACAGATCGATCTAAAACTACAGGCATATTATGAGAATGATTGCTTTATAAAACTCCGTTCTATTCGAATTTATTTTCTATTGTGTCTAGATTTAGGAACTCTGATGCATTTTGCACTTGAAATTTTTGGTTCGACTAAAAAGAAAAATTCGTATAGTATATCATCTTCTTATTCGACTCATATTGCCTCGTTTGAAGCGCCAAAGTATATCTTGTTATAGAAATTTTTTCAAGTTTTTGTAATTTTATTTGTGTAGCTGAACGCATCGTGATTTTTATTGCAATGCTTATGCAACGCTATCAGTTTTGAAATGCTTTCTTCAAAATTCATTTTTGAAAGCATCATTTTATAGATCTAGCTTTTTTCACATTCTTAAGACGTACTTTTTGTCTCATTTTTTCGACTGGCTAGCCATGCTATGTTTTCGATGTCTCGCACCTGGTGCAAAACTCTGCTTTACTTAGTGACCAACTGTCTTTCGGATTAATTTTCATTCTTCTAAATAATTATGGGCCAAGTTTTTATCAGCTTGCTTGCCTTTTGTTGCTTAATAGTGTCAAGTCAAAGTGGTTTTGCTATGATAGTTTCAATTGCAAGAGCAAGTGGCTAGACATTGGAAATTGGACTTTTTTCCCGTGCACAAGTTTTCTTACAAATCTGTAAAAAAAATGATTTTGCTCAAGTATTGATCCCGAACAATGTCCATGATCATGTTTTTTTCAGTATGTTGGGAATTGAATTTTCTTTCTAGGAAAATTAATACATCAGTATTTCGTAAGTTTGCTAATTTTTTGTCGGCTCTAATGTCAAAGCATAATTTTTCAATGTTACAAACATTTTTTTTTACTATGTTTGATGGTCGTTCTGTGATTTGTAAAAGGACACCTCAGGTTATGATTTCTGTTTGTTTTTGATTTTTTTTTTGCAATCAACTTGTTTTGAGTTTGTCATGTTTTCTTAGTCGTCTATTTTTGCATAGTTTTAACAGCAGTAATTTGTCGAATCACTTTGAGTGTTTGAAGGGATGGGGTGTAAAAGCTTCACGTTTGAAAGTTTAATCGCTTAAAAAATTCATCACAACAATTTCGTTTTCGGCTCTTCAGGTGTCAATCATGTATGTTCGGCTTAGGAGCCCCTTGGTAGTTGAAAGCCTATTTAATGCTGGTGTTTGTTCTTGTCGGCTATTATGAGGAAATAGATTTTTTAAAGAAAATTGAAGGAAAATTTAATCACTTTTTTTTTTCGTAGTTCTTTCCGTGTAATTTTTTGATTCGCTAGCTTGTAATCCTATGGTTGCTCGGGTGTCCCACTCTTTAACCCCACAATATTTAAACTCCTATGCTTACACCCTTGTATTATAACCCCGTAACAAGATAACCCCACAACAATTAAACCCCCTTTCAATGACGATAATTTGTTTCCATTTAACTCCTTTTTTCAAGTCCTTTTACACTCATAGTAGTTTTCCCATTAGGTGTACTAATTGAGGCCAGAGAAGCCATTATTAATTCTCTTCGTGCATTTGTCGCTCAAAAATAATTGCATTTCGGTTAGCTTAAGAAATAATCCCTTATTCACGCGTTTAAAACAGATAACCTACATGGTGCTAATTAAAGGCAACAAAAGACCTTTGTGAGTTTTATATAAAATCATACTGCCTATTTCTTTAACCATTGTATACCACTCTATCAGATCAGATATAATGTTTGAAGCGTCTTTGCATTTTACTTTATCTTCGAAAGACAAACAAATGCTAGTGGTATCAGGCCACGAGTATTACCTTAAACGCAAAAACAAGACAACTACAAATTGGAACTGCTCGAAGTACCAAACTCATAAATGCCGCGCAACAGCAATTACGGATGGATAAAGTTTTATTGAAACAAGGGGTGAACATAGTCACAATATTTCCACGGGAAAACCTGATGCTCGATTTGTTTTGAAAAACATCAAGGATCTGAGCGATAGTAATACCGCGATAGTACTTGTCGGCCATTATGAGCCCCCAACCGTCGTAATCGCAACCGTCATTCAGCCCATAACAGACGTCATTTCCACTCATTTAGCCCTACAAACCAAAGAAAATTTAGCTCGCACCGCACAACGAGCGCGCAAGCAACGAGAAGTCTCCCCAGCAACCAGAAGTTTCGAAATACCCGAACTTTTCAAAAATTTATAAAATTTGACAGTGGACAAAATGATCACGAGAGGATCATTTTATTCGGCGACCCTGAAATGCCACGTGTACTTGAAAAATCCAACTTTTGGTTGGCTGATGGAACTTTCAAAGTCAACCCGAAAATGTTTTATCAACTTTACTCTAAACACGTTAGTCTTTCAGGAATAGCCCTCGCTTGCATATGTGCGTTCCTGTCAAATAAAACAGAAAAATTCTACCACCGTTTCTCGGAAGCCCTAAAAATACTAGCCCCTGATTTTAGACCTGAAAAAATTTTGCTAGATTTTGAGCAGGCCGCTATTCAAGCTGTGGGGATGTTTATTTCATCTTTCACAAAGTTTTATGAGAAAAATCGCGGAGCTCGGATTGAAAAAGGATTACGAAACAAACCACGAGTTCGCTTTAGCACTCAAAATTTTACCCGCACTGGCTTTTGAAAAAGAAGAAGAAAAAGGGAATTATATCGGAAAGTACACTATTTATTTGAAGTACACTATATATCGGGTAATCCTCAATTCGCAACAGGGCATGCAAAATTATATTTTAAAAAGTTAATCTAGGCTTGTAAATGGAATGCAGTCCCTCGTTGTATTCCTAATTTTTTGTTTCAGGTTTTCTGAAGGATTTCCAGTCGTTCATTGTGCCTGGATTTCTGGTGGTGTGCAACACATTCTGTGCCCAAATAGCCGCCCTTTTCTTCATCCCAATGATAATTTACTCTCGCTTCAGTGGCAGTAACTGTCATCCCAATACACCCGCCACCGCTGCCGCTTCTGTTGCCGGAGGAGCAGCAGCAGGTACAACTCACTTTTACATGAACAAGCACTGTTATTTGACAAAGTGACTTTTTCCAATCTAACTTTCATAAATTAGTAATCAAGAAATGAGTACTCACGTTTTAAAGAAATTCAGCATTGGCAATTTATTAGCGATCTTTGATGATGGTAGCAAGAGGCTTCGAATCTCGTATTGGGCTTTTTTTTCAAAGATTATGTTAGGAGTCGATGAAGGTACTTTTAATTGGGTCATTTTGTTTTTTTGTTTGTTTTTTGAAGGAAAATTAATAAAATTTGCTCAAAAATTTACTTTATCGCGGTTTGACTTCAAATTTTTAAGGAAAGGAAATTTCATATCACTTTTTTTTAAAGGAAGGCAAAATCCACTATCGGACAGCGAAAGTGTAAAAGCCACGAAAAACGTGATGGACTTCTAATTTCTAAAATGGAATTTAATTATCAGATTTCCCAGCGAAATACAATTTTTACCTATTGATCCAGTTTTCTCAAATTGGGTTAAATTAAAATTGGTCTAGAAACTCGTAGAGCTCTAATGGCATCTATTTTTTTCTATGAAATTCGAAAATTGGGTTTTTTTCAAAAAAAAAAACAATTTGTGTTTTTTATGCTTACTTGCGTACAATGACTCGAACTGACTTTGTTATTTTTATGCAAGAATTCATTCTCTGTTGTCTGTAAATACTTATTAAGCGCTGACTAACAGCCATAAATTGTGCGAATGAAATGGATAAAAGCTAGAGGGAACGATGGAATCAAGTTCCTAAAGACGCCTGATGTCTGAATCTTCTTTTTTAGAAAAACAAATTCAGCTGATATAGTGAGATATTGAAAATTGGACTAACTGTAGTTACGAGTATTATGTCGTAGGTGCCTTTAGTCCAGTGGGTAGTTCCGTGCGGTCTAAACTGGACTTGGACTCCTCGGATGGCGACTTCTGGACAGTGTTGCTGCATAATGGAGACAGAGTAAACCGGCTGCTTCTAGTCATGTTCGCCGCCTTCTCACTAACACACGCAATCAAGGTACAAGTCTAATTTTTTTGCGTGTAATTATTGTTACTGTTCGCAATAGGCTATTGCAACCCCGGGTACTAGATTTTTTTGTAAACTGAATTCGAAAAAACCTCTGAAAATTGTAATAGTCGATGAACATAACATAGTGAAGACTCGTATATAGGTCGTGGTTTATTTGATTTTTCGCGGCTTGATGTTGATTTTTTTTTTCATTGTTAAAAGGAAGGTAATCTAAACTATGGCACCGCAAAAGTGTGAAGGTCACGAAAAACGTGACTGTCTTCTAGTTTCGAAAAACTGAACTTTTTTCACTCAATAGAAGACATTTCTTGAATCTATTGTATCAGTTATTGTTTTTTTTGTCGACTTCGAAAGTTTCGTTCGCGAAAAATTTTTTTTTTGGCAATTTAAGATCAGCTGATGTTTTTCTTGAATCAATTAACGTGTGCGATCCGAAACAATTTTGAAAACATTCACAGGGGGAATTGAAAACAGCTGCCGTTTCCTTATTTGAATCAATAATGTGGTATGGGCAGAGGTAGTAAAGTGGTTAATTATTCGCCTCTTAATCGAAAGATACGTGAATCGAGACCCAGCATTATTCGTGTTGGTTGCTTGAGGACGAGGCAACATTTATCTAACTCAGAAAATAGCTTAAAATGCATGTACCTCTGAAGCAGGGGCACAACAGCGCTTTTTTGCTATAAGCTGAACAGCTCGTAGTTTGGTATTTTCCCTTGAAGTAATTATTCTGAATTAAGTGGCGGATATACTAAATTTATTTCAATGAGGCAGTTCAACAGTGTCGAAAAAATTTACAACAATGCCGAAAATCATTAGTTGTTGAACTACATTGAAAAAGAAAATTTGACAAAGAAAATTTGGTTAATCCTTGAAACTCAAGAACTTATTGGCTTACATCTTTTCAAAGTTCTTCAATTCTGATTGTCTGGCTTAACGTTTTGGCATGGTACATATTCTCATCATATGTTATATCTTCTTTTCAGCTGTATAAGCTGGACGGTATGGTTCTGCCCATTGAAAAGGAGCGGGAACTTTGTATTCGGGTGTTTTATTTTTTTTGTTTTCCACGCAAAACCAGGTAACATAATTAATCATCAATGTTGGTTCAAGTGATATATCAGATTGAAGCCGTTTCAGCCGTTATTCAAATGATATTAAAAAGTTTTCAACATTGTCCCAGTATCGAAAAAGACAGTATCGAAAAGTATCTAAATTCGAGCGAGGAGCAAGAAAACGAGCCAGCAGGCTTGCAATAGCTTATTTATGCTTAATTTAAGCCGTGAAAGTGTTGTAGCTTTAAGCGAATATATTAGTTTTCAGCACTATTTGGGAATCAAAAAATTCGAAAATTGTTAGTTAAAATGATTTTTTTCTTGTTTTTCGAATGTGCTTAAGTTCCAGACCACAAAGGTTTCTGCTGCTGTATATAGCAAGTTCTGCTGCTTTATAGAAAAAATTCTGCTTTTTTGCTCAATGAAAGTTACCATTAATCATGCGTTTATTACAAAATAATTACTCTTTTTTATCGCTTTTCGGAATAAAAAAAATCAATTTGAAAACGAGCTAACACTTTCAGGAAGCAAAATAGTAGAATACTAGAGTCATTGATAGTCATTTTGTTTTTCTGATAAATAGAGCAGTTTCTTGTAGAATTTTGTCGGGTTGTGTGTGAATGCGTCTTTGGTATTTACGAGAAGTAGAAATGCAGCTTTTATTTTATTGTTTACACTTGTGAAGCAATGTGTTGTAGTACGAATTTTTTTCCAACCGAAGTCGCAAATATTGTAGCGAATTTTGCTGTGACTAAGTCTCAATTATTGTAGCGACTTAAAGCAACAATTTTTGCTGCGTGAAATTTGCTGCATCGAATTGGCAATAAGATTTTTTGATATTTTTTCGCACCTTTGATATTTACTTGCAAATTTACAGCTTATTGATAACATGTACTTTGACATTTGAATAGTAATAAGTTTACACAGTTATTACATTTTTAATTCAGTAAGTGAACCGAAGAAAGCTATTTGTTTCAAACAACAAAACAATATTAAAATCTCGATTTCAGAAATGTTCTAACCCAATGTATCTCGCAATTTTTTGAAATGCATAATTTATACATAATGTGGCTTCATGATTTGCAATTTATTACATGCAAAGTTGTATCTTTTTGTATTTGGTGCTACTTTTGCGGCATCGAATTGGCATTTTTTTAAGCATATGTAGCTGCGTTATTGGTGGCTAGTTTTTGGGTATTTTAAGCATCCGTGACTGAATGTTTAGTGTGTGAGGCTAAAAATTGCTAGGTCGCAGATTTTTGCAAATTCGAGTCTTTAGCTTCCAGTTATTCGAGTCTTATTTTATTTTTTCCTATGTCACTTGATAGAGGTGCGTTTTGGCCGTATTCTCGCAAGTATTTGCGAAGCGCAGCTTCGCCTCTGTGTTTAAAATATTTAGGAAAAAAATCCGACAAATTAAACTGTATGATTGAAATTCTACTATCTGCTGCTCTATTAGGCGAATTCTGCTAATTCTGCTGCTAGCAGAATCTTTTGGGGCCTGCCTAGGCTTTAGGTTTTTGTTCAGATACTTAGTCACGCCTTACAGAAAAACGACGCTTGTGTGAAGATAGAAAAAAAAAGTTTTTGTTTTGTATTTTTTCTAATTCTATGGTCGGAATACTCAGTGCTTCTTGCACAGTAACCTGATATCCTTGTTAATACTGAATTTTTATTAGTATCCTTTCTTTTTAGCTGTGTGTGACGATGGCTTGCACTAGTGTATTGAGACTGCACCTGATGGCCTACCGAGTATTCGTGCCTAACCTCTTGTTCCAGGCAGTCGCATTCCTAGTGGTGTTGATTGTGCAACTCCTACTCGCTCTAGCCCACAAGTGGATCATGTTCAGAACGAACACATTCCTCACTCAGCTCAACAGTCGCAGATAGAGAGCAAAAGCAGCAGAAAGAAAATAAAGACAAAGTGTCATGGAAGACAAAGACGAAAAGGAAGAAGAAGTCACTTCAAGAGATTTGAATCTTTAAGCATAGAATGGAGATTTCTTTTTTACCCACTTAGACCTACCTGCAATTCTGTGCGTTTCACCCCATATTATTTAACTCGTCTTTTTATCCCTCTTTTGAAATTAATTGTACTCTTTTTACAAGATGGTTTTTTTTATGAATTCAGTATCAAGTCTCACCGCTTCGCCGCTTAACGTTACCAAGAACAAAAAAAGTGACATTAGAGGATCATAAATGGTTTTCAAAAAAGTTTGGGGGAAAATTGCGTGAAGAAAATCTAGAGTGAAACGAAACGGGGTGAAAAGCGCTATGAAATGAGCAATCTACAGCAAACCTTGAATTAAATTGATGTCAGCCTTTATTATTTATATCCTTGTGAGTTGTGATTCATTTAACCAGTTTAGCCAAAATCCATGTTATAGCAAAATTAAGTAATCGGAAAATGCCACAAACAGTTACGTTGAAATATCTGAAATGTGACCGTAATGGGCCCCCTAAGTGACGTACCGTAGAGTGCCCTCACCAAACACGTATCAAATCTTAAAAATACTTATGTATAAATCATGCATTTCATACAAACGCGCATGTAAAATTGGTTTTTTACGTTTTTATGCAGGATTGCCTTTGTATGCTGTTAATTACACAAATTAATGTTTTAATTCGATTTTCTTTAGTAATGCGCTATATACTCAAAGTTAGCTTATGAAAAATCCATGATTTTCTCCCCCCTCCCTAAATCGATTGGGGGGGGGGGGGGATTGTATGGTTGATCCAAAACTATTTTGGTTTTGGCGATTTTAAAGCGGTGAGAATCCAACATGTCAGTTTTTTGAAATGGGATCAAGAGAAATTTAATGCGAAATTAACTAATTGAAACATTATTTCTGTTCCTTGGGCCTCCCCAATTAATATTGCCTTGTTTTTTTTGCACCTACGACGCAAATTTTTTTAACCGGTGTTGAAACATGATAAAGTTATCAACAAAAATACAAACTTTATCGAGTTCAATTTTAACTGTAACGGTTTTCCAATTTAATTATTTTTCTTAACATAAATATGTGCTCCTTAATATTTCTTATCAGAGGCTAGAACGACTTTGTTAATTATGGAGTATAATCTAAAGCTACACGAAAACTTTTTTGAAAAGCCTTAGAATCTAATTCGAGAAACTCAGCCTTTTCTATCAGTTTCAAGTATCCTCAGCCTCTCGTAATTGTGCTAATTTTCATCTAATGTGAAGTTAAATATTTCTGTTTAAGTATAATGTACACTGATTTAATCTGACAAAAGATGACTGGAAATAAAAATGTGAGGATAGGACTCTGCAGTCGAGAAAATGAGTAATTAATAGTTGTATCAGTTTCATCTGTTTCCAAGTTGTTTACATGCTATTGTTCCCATTGGTTATACTTTCTACTCCTGTTATAATGATGATGAAATGCTCATTTTCCGCGAGACCCTGATCAAGATAGCAACCCTCAAAGGTCTGTTATTTTGACAAGTTAGTTGGCTTTCAGTGCTGTGTGAAATATTAGTGCAAGAGCTGCAAAACAAGCTGTAAACCTAGTTAGCATTATGCATCTTTCATTTAAACTAGGATATAATTGTTATCTTGATCCCCTACCTTCTTAACAGATCTGATCCTTTGTAAAGCTAAAGCCAATCAATATACTTGTATTTCGTATTCATTTAAATCCGGAATCATTTACAATTCACTTGCTTCATTTATATTTTTGTCTAACGGGTGACAGTCACCAACAGGGCACTAAAAATCTTGCTGTGTTGAAGTTTCAACGAGCGAGGTGAATTTTCAAATACTGATGCTGTGCTCATTTGCTAAATGAAAGGCAAATAACCAAAGTGAATGGCACCAACGAACAGGCAATCCAAAATGATTAATAATTTTCAGAATTCCCAGCGAAATAAAAAAAAACGCCGTATGATACAATTTGTCAAATTCGTGAGCTTTATCACAAATTTCAGAAACTAAGAGGAGATAAAGATATTGATTTTTTTCGCGATCGACTTTTATTCATATTTTTGAAGTTCAATTCAATTTATTGGATACGTAGGATATAGGAAGGCTAATTATGCTTTCCGATACCAAAAACGTGAATCACTTGAAGTTTTAAAATGTATTTCAATTTGCAGAATTCACAGCGGAATAAACGATTCTTTATTGGCCTAAATTTTTCTAATTGGGTTAGTGTTATGAAAAAAGTTCCGATCATGGAAGATTCTTGATAGTCAAGGAGCTTTACCATTATATTTTTTTACGTTCTTTGAGTTCATTGACACTTTTCCAACTGACTGGGCTATGCTTTTTAAATTTTAAAAAGTGAAATTTCCCCAATGATCATTTTCTGGGTCTAACTGGCTGTAAAACTTGTATAACAAAAGTGCATATGGAGCAAAAAAACGTGATTGATTTCTCGTATCAAAGTTGAATGTTTTTAAGGTATCCAAGCATATAGAAAAAAATCTTCTAGAGATCCATTTTTCTCGTATTTTTTAATCAAATTTGTCAATCATGAATTTAGCCAAATGGAACCATCCCTGAGTGCGAAAAAAGGTTGATAAATCAAAACACTGATGATGATGATGATGATGATGATGATGATGATATGTCATGTTTTTGAGCGTATATTTTATGTTACGTTGTTGTTGGAGCCTCGTTGACTCTTGAAGACACTGTACTGTGTTCGTTTATTCTGCTTTATAGTGGCTTCGTCTCTTTCCTAGTCCGGTGTTTTTGGCCCTCGACAGGATAGATAAGGCATGCCACTAGCATGGTGTAATTGAATGACGTTTTAAAACTAGACGCGTCTGAATTGATCTCGCGTGTTGTTGTTGTTGTTGTTGTTGTGTGTTATGAGGTCAGCATCTTCAGTGAGGTCAGCATCTTCCGTGATGTCAGCATCTTCCTCTTTCTGGTTTTTTATTCTACAATTATTCCAAACTTTTTTTTCATTTCACTGGTATAAAAAAGCGATAATCGGATATTAGGTATAAAATAACGAAGTGTTTTGTCACTTACTTAGGTCGTGATGTTTTTTTGCCTTTGTATCCGGAAAATCTTTTAATTTGCACGTGCTCTTAATTTTCTAACTTGAAATCGTTTTTTAGAAGACGGCTTTCTATCCAGTTTTTGAATCATTTTCATCTATAAATTGAAAAGTGTTTGTTTTTGCATCGCAAGTGGTGCGAAGCTCAGCTTCGTCTAAGTGCTGAAGTTGTTTTCTATTGCTGAAGTTGTTTTCTATTATTATATTATACTTTTTATATAGGTCGTCTTTCTGTTTTTAAGGTTTTTCCGTTTTTTGCATGCATATACGACGTTCAGCGTCGCATAAGCGTCAACTTTTTTTGTTTTGAATTATAGCTTACCTGGCTTGTAGAATATTTACCTTAGCGAGCTAGTACGCGTAGTGTCTTAGTTTGACTCTACTTTTTTCCATCCTAACTCTCCAAAAACTATTTGTACAAAAATTATCTTTAGAAATATTTTCCCTTGTATTGCAAATTTCATAGCATCTGTTCTCTGCGTCTGAATGTGGGATGTTGCGATGTAATGTATGAAAAAGAAATGTGTTCACAATAGCCAGTTTAATCATAATAGAAAATTTCAATGCATTTTCAGAACGTTGAAATGGTTTTTCGAAATTGATTTTCACATATGTGTATGTGGGGAGGGGGGTGCTCAAGAGCCTGTCCGTGGAAGAGATTGCAGTACATCAGACTCTTAAGCTACTTGTCGCAGGTTAAACACCGACATTAGCACTAATTTTATGAAAAGTATTGAACGTAGTGAAGAACTCTTGTATAGGTCGTGGTTTTTTTGTTTTTAAGGAAAAATTTTAATATTCGTACATATTATTGCATTTATGAATGCGCTGATGTATCTATGCAATTTTTGAGTTCAGTTGAAATTCATCTACTGAAGTTTACCTAAGCAGCATTCTCCAAATATGAACGTTGAAATGGCGCAAAATGGTGATTGACTTCTAGTTTCAAAAGTGGATTCAACTATTGATCCACTTTTCTCAAATTGAGCTAGTTTTTAGCGAAAAAGCACCAATCATAATTTGTTTTTGAAATTGAAAGAGCTCTAAGGAAATGCTTGAAATAACGAAGTGTTTTGTCACTTACTTAGACCGTGATGATTTTTTTGCCTTTGTATCCGGAAAATCTTTTATTTGCTCGTGTTCTTAATTTTCTAACTTGAAATCGTTTTTTAGAAGACGGCTTTCTATCCGGTTTTTGAATCATTTTCATCTAAAAATTGAAAAGTGTTTGTTTTTGCATCGCAAGTGGTGCGACGCTCAGCTTCGTCTAAGTGCTGAAGTTGTTTTCTATTGCATCCTTTTTATAATAATATTATACTTTTTTAAAGGTCGTCTTTCTGTTTTTAAAGTTTTTCCGTGTGTTGCATGCATATACGACGTTCAGCGTCGCATAAGCGTCAACTTTTTTTGTTTTGAATTATAACTTACCTTGCTTGTAGAATATTCACCCTAGCGAGCTAGTACGCGTAGTGTTTTAGTTTGACTCTACTTTTTTCCAACCTAACTCTCCAAAAACTATTTGTACAAACATTATCTTTAGAAATACTCTCCCTTGTATTGCAAATTTCATAGCATCAGTTCTCTGCGTGTGAATGTGAGATGTTGCGATGTAAAGTATGAAAAAGAAATGTGTTCACAATAGTCAGTTTAATCATAATAGAAAGTTTCACTGCATTTTCAGAACGTTGAAATTGTTTTTCGAAATTGATTTTCACATGTGTGTATGTGGGGAGGGGGTGCTCAAGAGCCCGTCCCTGGAGGAGATTGAAGTACATAAGACTCTTAAGCTACTTGTTGCAGGTTAAACACCGACATTAGCAGTAGTTTTATTAAGAGTATTGAACGTAGTGAAGAACTCTATAGGTATTGGTTGTTTTTTTTGTTTGTTTTTCAGGAAAAAGTTTTAATATTCGTACATATTAATGCATTTATGAATGCGCTGATGTATCTATGCAATTTTTGAGTTCAGTTGAAATTCCTCTGCTGAAGTTTACCCAAGCAGCATTCTCCAAATATGAACGTTGAAATGGCGCAAAAATGGTGATTGACTTCTAGTTTCAAAAGTGGATTCAACTATTGATCCACTTTTCTCAACTTGAGCTAGTTTTTATCGAAAAAGTAACAATCATAAATTGTTTTTGAAATTGAAAGAGCTTTAAGGAAATGCTTGAAATAACGAAGTGTTTGTCTTTTATATAGGTTGTGATGTCTTTTTCGTTTTTTTTTTCAGGAAAATCTTTTAAAATTTGATCAAGCTGTTGATCGCCTTGCACGAAAAGATTTTTTAGAAGATGGCTTTGTATCCGGTTTTTAATTTTTTTTATCTATGAACTTTGGCAATTGTTTTTGGATCACAAGTTCAGCGAAGCTCAGCTTCGCTTAAGTACTGAAATTGTTTTCTTTCATTGCGTCTGAAGTTGTTTTCTTTCATTGTGTCTTTCTTTATTGCTTTTTGTACTTTTTAAGGTTCTTTCTTCATTTTTTTGCATTCATTTGCGACGTTCAGCGTTGCCTAAGCGTGAAGTTTTTGATTTTCAGTTTCAACTCGACTTGTGTGTAGAATGTTAACACAAGCTAACTAGTTTGTCGTTTTCTCGCTTGTGTTTGCGAAGCGCAAGTTCGCCTCGGTGCTGATGAGAATACAGTTATTGTTCTTTGACTATTCAGTTTGTTTTCTGAAATCAACGCTTTGTCATTTGACGAGCCCATTTTTTTGGTTCTGTAATGTGGTTAATTTGGACCAATTGGGCATTATTTTTCTCATTGAAAATACAGTAACGGTATTGCTCTCAAGTGATTTCCATATAGACGACATAGTAAGGATGTCAATTCCTGAGTCCCACACGCCCATGCCTCACCTAAATCAGCCAGTGCTATTGAATCTAGGTATTGCTGAAATAACGTAGTCCAAGGGTTTTTTGCGAATATGAATCGATTAAAAACTTTGCCTGAGCGGTTCCTTTGCAATCTTTTCGCAATTTCTATTAATCATCATAAATCATGGGTGCCCTTAAAATAATTTCCTTTCAAGAGCCAAACACCAAAACCATCAGTTTTAACAGTGATCATTCCACCGATATAATTGGTTGATTCTTAATCAATTTTGTTGATAATAAAAAGCATCCAAAATTGCTTCGCTCAACTAGAGCCCCGCTTGGCTTTAGATGCCAGAAGCAAATGCCTAAACTCTCAGCCCAAAATCATATTTGGTTTTACCCAAGAACGAATAGCATTTTTTGTTTTCTTGTTTAGCGATATAAAATTGCTATTGTAACATTTTCGTATATGAAGAATACTTGGATTTCTGACAGCGATCCATTTTGAAGCAATTTGTTAAAAAGCTTCCTTCTGTTGTAGGAGAATATCACCTGCAAAATTGCTTTCGGTCATGCTTGAGATTCTATTTTGTTCATTTGCGTAAACAAATTAGTAAACAGTGGGAAGAAAGGCAATATATTTTTTGTCCCTTACTCCGGTGAATTATCTTTGGAATTTTAGCCGCAGAAGACAAAACGGTAAAAAAAAAGTTTCTCGCTTCATCGATTTTAACTTTATTGTTAAAATTGCTAGTTCAACTTCTGGGCTGAAAGGAATAAAATCACCCCTGTAATTTCTTGAAATAAACTGGAAGGCTTCTTTGGTGTATGTTATGGCTCCTGGTCGGTTGAATCCCCCTTCCAATCACCTGATGATCCTAATACATGGACCAGAAGAAAGAGTGGAAGTTTACTTCAATCACCACCAAGCCCAGGTAGCCCTTCGTCTCTGTGACCTTTTTACCATTATCGCCCAGACCCCATCAACACTAGTAACAAACAATTGTATATTTATAGACCCACCTCATTGAGTTTTCTTTCTTTTAAAAGAACAGAGAGTTCATAGCTCACAAGGTTAGCATTTTCAAATTAGGGGCAGAATAATCTGTCAAGGGGGTGGGGCGATTATAGGAAAGAGTCTTTTAACACTGTGAGTTAAGTTTTCTTTTTGCTGGCATAAAATTAACTGAGAAAGGAAGAGAATCCGATTCGTTTTTTGGTCCACTTTTTATGAGTTAAAGCGGCAGAATTCAATCCTGCTTTCAGTTGAACTTTTGGGCTCATTTAAAGAGAACAAAACTTGCACGTTTTTCAAAAAAAAATCTCATGCTTCTCTACTTGAAAAGATTCGCTATCAATTGACATCTGTTTTTAGCCTGATAACAGAAGCTGTAGTAGTTAAGATGGGGGAATCCCTTATGCCGGTAGAGCCAATAATTCTGTAAGCCAGCCAAATAGTGTTCGAAAATTCGAAAAAAAATATCAAGACGAAAATCAGACTGTTTAGTGCAATCTGAATAACGTCGATTGGTTGATAATGTTGTGTCAGGTTATTGGTTCATAAGAATAGCTTTCTTTGATGTATACTGGGCTTTTTTGGTCGCATCCTAGTTCGCCACAACATGTTTTAATGTGCGTATGCTTTATGTTGGTCTTGCAGGATACGTTGGTGAGTGTTACCAGTGCCTTCATGAAGTACTTCCCCCTCTGGAAGGCCAAACAGGGACCAGGAGTGATGAGGTTCAAGGCACCCAACATCGGACTGGACGATGAGGTCAGTTGCAGTTTTAACTTTAAAATGAAATTTAAAAAATGGAAAGTTTTCATTGCAGTTCAAATCGCGACTGAAGGGTCTCAAACAGGAGATATGATTCGTTGTCATCCGAACTTGTCTATGGTACAAGAAAAAAAACATCTGGAAACGAAGTTCGTTTTCACCATTAAAAGTCTCTATCATTATGTACTACAGCGTTATCATATTGGCATAATTTAGGCTCAGGTTCAATCATTTTATGACAGTCTTTGGAAATGGCACCACTACTACACTCCCCTTTTGGAGCGCAGAAAACATGCTGAACAATGACTGTGAATTTTTGATGCACTTGGCTAACGATAAAGCCGTAGAGCCGTAATGATGAAGTCATCGCGCAATTTTGTCATGAATCTATACTATTTAAACGCGTGTGACACGTTTCTTGCCATATTTATAATTTGCTTGAAAAAATGTTGATATTTTTTGGATTCCTGGTTTTCAAGTTAGCTTTTTTTTCGACTCATGTTCCGTTTTTTAAATTGGATTTTTTTTATCTTGTACTGTTTCTTTTGGCTTTCTTTGTAAAGCATGCATCTTATTTTGATATAAAATTATTCACAATAATTGAAAGTTCTGTAATTTGACTTTTTACTAAGTCTGCTTTTTTCGGTTCAACGGTTTCCGCCAATGCTTTGTCGGCTTAGCCCACTTATATTACGTAGTTTCGAGGTCAAAATCCTTCTATTCGATTAAGCAGATATTCTGAAAATGTATGGGAGTTCAAGTTTTTCTTTCTTCTAGGCGGTTTGGATTTTTTTCGCTATAATTCTTTTTCTTCTCGCCAAGTACTTCACCGATTTTCAATAAACCTGTATCAACGAAAAGACCGGCTAATAAATTGCATGTTTCTCTAGTCTCTTTAATCTAACTCCATTTTCAACAGAAGAAAATTTATCATTTTCTTGGGTTTTTTCTTCAGAAACTACCACGGCATATCTGAGATTGAGGTTTCAATGGAAAGAATGTGTAACATGGATCTCTTTTGTATAAGCGGCATCGCCCTAATTTAAATAGAAAACATTGTGGCCTCAAAAAAGCCATGGTTCACAGTTTGGTCATTTTTTGAAAATATCCTCCCGAATCTGGGTTTAAAGAATCAATTGAGGAAACATCTTGTGATAATCTTCCCTTGTGTTATTCATATTGCTTTAAGGAAAAGTAAAAATTTGAACTTTCGACAGTTTTTTTGAAAGCTTGATTGTTTTCAAAAACTACACTGACAATTTCGAAATGAATGATTCATTTGAAATGACAGGTTTTGGACTTCATCGCTACATAAGCTGGTACGCCCTTATTTATGTAGAAAAAGCTACAGCCCTCGAAAAAGCCATTTTTATACTTCTAGGTTCAGTCGAAGAATCAATTTTCGTGCAGAAGCTGAGACTCCTTAACTTTTGTGCGAAAGTTGTTGTGTCCTAAGAAATAGTCAGTTTTTGGAAATTTACTCCGTTCTCGCATTTTTCCAATTTCACTTTTCTCGAAAGCTACCCTGCCAAATCTCAGATTTGCAGTTCAATCGAAGAAACTGGTTATGGAAATGTTTTCTGTATAAATGGCTCCGCGATTATATTTTCAATTGAAGTAACTGCTTGTGTGAAACTTACCTGTAGAAGCAGCGATGTCATTTTTTTTGTAGAAAAGTTTTATTGACTAAGGAAAAATTAAGCTTTTGAGATATCGATAGTTTTTTGGAAACTTATTTTTTTTCTGTAAATCTGCCCCTAATATTCTGCGGTTAATGATTTAATTGATATAAAGATCTTACCTGCATAAAGGGTTACTCTCTATTTTTTTGTAGAAAAGTAGGCATGGTTTTGGAAAAGTACCCTGACAAATTTTACATGGAGTTCAATTAAAAGAACGGAAATTGGGCTCTCCTTTATTAAACTACTAATACCTTATTTTAGTAGAAACCACTAAAGGTATGGGTTGAGACCAATTTTCGAAATTTTCTGCTCAAAATTTATTATGACAGCAGTTTATGTTCCGCTTAACAGGTTACCCAGAATTTTTATGCCTTAGTTGCCGCTCGTTAATCGAATTTGTTCAAGTTATTTTTTCCAGCTACTTTTAACTCAGTTTTTTAACTCCAGCTCCGCTTCGTTTCTGTGTAAAATTTGATCGCAGGTTCGTCTGCTGGACGTGTTTATGGAACTGGGGTTCGAACTGGCGACCAACTCTGTGAACAACCACCAGACCAAGCTGGTATTCCGCAGGTCATTCCAGCTGCACCAGGACCTTCCAGTGCTCTACAGTGCTATCACGGGCAAGGGAGATGCAGCTGTGGAACACTGAGGAATCAACGCACTTCCCCATTACCCATTGTAGCCTCCCAGTCAAATATAGCCTCATATTAGTAAAATCGCATATTTTTCGTTTGAAGAGGTGGCTAAAATAAAATATCAAAACGCAAAGCTGAAGTGCAATTATAATTTTTAGTTTTCACACGATAGACTGCCATTGAAAGGAAAAAGTAGTTTTGAAAGTTACTGATATTATTATAGTTATGTGCACAAAAACTGAGTTTGATAAAATTTTAGTAGATGAATAAATACAGTGCTGTTTCAATTTATCCGGGCATAACTAATAAAATATGAAAATCATACTTTTGAAATTGGGTTTGTTTTAGACAAAAAGGATGATACAATTATTCCTTAGAAGCAATTTATATTGCAGTATAAAGCAATTTATATTGCAAAATTCGGGCTGAAAATTTTACTTAAAAACAGATCTTCTAGAGATCCATTTTTCTCAAACAGGGTATTTTTTTATCAAATTTGTCAATCATGAATTTAGTCAAATGGACCCACCCCTGAGTGCGAAAAAAGGTTGATAAATCAAAACACTGATGATGATGATGATGATGAAAGATTCATGAAAATTACAGAGCTCGAAGCTTGATAGTTTTTTTTTCGTTGAGAATGGAGTTGGAAAATTAGCAAAAAAAATAATATTGTTTTTTTTCTCGATTTTCTTGAGTTGATTAATATTTTTTCACTGCCTGTTGACTTTGACTTTGTTATATCAAATTATTTTGCAAAATGAAGGTTACTTCTTTCAAAAAAATTAAATGAAAAATTAGACCTGGATTTTTTTAATTGTAAATAGATCAAAAATTAAGCCAAAATTAACGGTTTAGTTGCTTACAAAACTCCAGCTCTGAAACTTTCTGATCTAGCTCAACGAAGCTGAAGATGTTTTCTCCAAAAGTTGCTACGTTTCAAAATTGTTTTAAATTAACAAATTAGTACAGTTAATTAATATAAAATGATTTTTTTTTTATTATTAAACGAAATAGAATTATTTGTAGAATTTTCAGAAGAATATAAATTTCTGAAGCTTTGTTCTGATACATAAGAAGCTGACTTTGATGTTTTGATTGCAGACATTTGAACAGATAGTTTTGATTGACTAAAAAACCCAAAATTTATCCATTTTTGGGGTAATGATCCATTATTAGGTAAAGTTTTTGGCCGAATTTTGACGATTTAATTAAACCAAATTCTCTGCACATTTTGTTCTGTCTTTTTTATCAAAAGTGAATGAAAATTTGGCAAACGCGTGTTTTATATTCAAATATTATTCGTTTTGTGCGGATAACTTGAATCAGAACTTATCTTTTGTATTTCCTTAGTTTTTTAAATCGAATTTTGGCTCCTGTCCAGTTTCGTACCCCCTATTAAAAGCGCAGTCGTATAATGTTAACTAAAAATTGCTAATACGGTAATTGACAATGAAAAATCTTTGAAAACTCTGCTTAAGAGTAATTAACGTAGTGAGTACTTTTATATAGGTCTTAAATTTTCCTTAAATAGGAAAAAATCTTCAAGTTTGTTCACGCTCAATTTTGATTTTTCGCGGTTTGACTTGTGATTTTTTTTTAAGTTCATAGCATATCTATTGTTAAAAGGAAGGTAAACTCCACTATTGAACAGTTAAATTGTAAAGGTCACGAAAAACGTGATCGACTTCTAATTTCGAAAATGGAAATTAATTATAAAAGTGAAATAAAAGTTTTACCATTTTGATCCAGTTTCTCAAATTGGGTTAAATTCAACAAAAAAGTGTCCATCATCATTTGTTTTACAAATTCAAAGAGTTTTAAGGCCATCTATTTTTTTTCTGCGAAGTTCAAAAGTTGAAGATCAGTGAAAAAATAAATCGTTTTTTTTACGTTTACTTGCGTTCATTGCTCTTTTCCAATCTGAAAGGGAATTTGAAAAAGCCTGAGTTTTAGATGAGAAGACTGCCCGTGTTGTGAAACTTGAACATCCGGATTTTTTGGGGATTTTGGGTTGATTAATTTATACCAAATTACGATTACACTCAGAGAGCTGATGATAATGTAAAACCGAAATAGTAAGATTGTCATCAAATTAGCTTAAGTTTTTCAGGAAGAAGTATATATGCAATTGCAGGTGGTAGATAACAAAATGCAAGTCCCCAACAGAGCAACGAAGCTGCCGTCGTTTTCCACAAAGTACCCATGGACTTATTCCCTGTCTTCACTTTTACTAACAACTAGGCTCAAACTACTCAATAATTGTGCAATGGTGTGGGAAAAGCAAGGGAATTGCAACCCGATACAAGACTTTTTTCCCTTAAATAATTTTGTTCGCAGAATGGTGAATTGTTAAATTTTATAACGGCTGAATTAATAGCATGGTTTGAGTATTTTAACTGAATTTGTACTTTTCTATATCACTGAAAAACGTTGAGATTTGTAAACTTTTTTTATCCTTGGAAAGTTTTCGGTTGATTTTCGGCACCGAGTTCGATCGGCTTTGTTTCTGTTTGCTTTTTCCTATAGTTTTCTTTATTGCATTTCGCTGTTATTGAATGAGAACAGTTGATCTCTACAGAGAAATGTTTGAAAAATCTTAAACACCCTCTTAAGCTCTCCGTAATGCAATTTACAAAATTAACATGAAAAATTGTCAAGTTTTTAAGATTTTTCTTAATTAAAAAAATCATTTTTCGGCCTTTTAGTTTGTTGGTTAGTCTTGGTTGCCAAGTTTGTTAATATACATACCTACACGACCTGCTGTAGTTATACTCCGTTAGCAAATTGGAATATAGATGTTTTCGGATTAATTTGTTTTTACTAAATAATTGAACCCTTTGCTGGCTTTACTTTATAAGTATATCAAGTTATAGATACCAATTTGGCCAGTTCAGTGCGGAGGTAACGACGAAGGTAATGAGTTCTGTACTGGCCAGGAGCTGTTTTTTATAAAATATTGAGCAGAAAGTCTGGGCCGAAAAACAAAGACTTTCTGCTCAAGAGTTTCGGCTTTGTTACCACTCTTAAGATTGTGTTTCGATGCTCATTTAACCTTCACTTTCTTTAGATTTCTTGGCACATTTTCTCGAAAAGCAAATCTCTTAAAATCAAGCCAAATGTAGAAAAATTTTTGGTAGATCACTTGTTTTAAATTTTCGCAAATAAAGATTCTGCGGCTTTCATCTCAATTTCAGTCAATTTTTTATCATGCTATGTATGTGTTTAATCACAATTAGCTCTGCTTAGCCTCTGTGGTAAGCTTTGGTCTTGAATTGAATAGCTTCCTTATTAAAACCGCAAAAGATATTTCAAAAATGAAAAAAATTTGGTCGGATTTAGGACGTACTTTGTTCCGGTTGAATGTTGCTTGCTTGGGTATCATAATAGATTCCCGCCACTGCTGGTTAGTTCAGTACAACTAGAATTGGAATTCATCACTTGCGTCAGTGAGAAAGATTAATAGGGACTTTTCTGATCCATGACATATTTTCAGATGAAGAGATGGTCTGTTGTCCCGTTGGTCCCTTGTGCATATTCCCCATTCTTCTGATTATCTACCGCAAATTCATTCAGCCATACCTCCAGTGATGCTCATTTTGAAAAAAACATTAAGTTAAACCAAGTAAATAAAATTAAATTAATTAGTTTCAAAAGTTTAAAAAATGTAGATTCCTTTTAATAATACATGAAAAGTCTTGGATTGTAAGTGCAGATTGGGTAAGTAGCTTAACGCTTGCGATTAGCTATGTTATCAAATTTTGACTTTTTGGGTTGACAAGTAGTTTAACCTATATCTGATATGTTGGGTTCAATCCAAAGAACGGGTTGTGCAAAGCTCTTTTACATACGCGACTACGCGCAAGTAATTATGGCGCTCTTTTTCCACTATTTTTGTAACATTTTGAGTTTTTTCGAGAACTTCTCTGCCAAACCTGGGTTTTTGTGTTCAATCGAAATTACAGTTTCGTCGAATCTCTTCTTGATAAACGACTACGCGCAATTTTTTGTAACAAAAAGCTAAGATTCTCGGAAATGTAAAGTATGTGATATGTTGACCGTTTTCTGGACCTTTCTCGATAACTATACTGCCAAACGTAATATCATAGGCTTAATCGACACAACAGGTTGTTGAAAGCTTACCTTAGTAATTTGCTACGCACTGTTTCTTTTGAAAAAGCTATGGCCTTCAAACAATTGAAAGTTTTGAAATTGTTTTTTTTTTGTGGGAGGTTTAGTGACTATACTCGAAAATTGTCGTAACAATTCTCAGCTTAAGTGTGCAGTCGATAAACCCAATTTTGGGATTTTACAGCGGCTTTACCGGCCGCGACCTGCTTTTTAGCAGAAAAAATTTACGGATTTCCAAAAGTCAATTTTTTGAGCTGTGACCTTTTTAAGAAACGTTTTGAATTTTCTGAAAAACTACTCTAACAAATCTGCGATGAAAAGTTCAATCGGAAGAAGCGGTTGCGCGAATTTTTTTTTTGCAAAAGCGGCTATTTTTTTGGAAAAGAAATGTTCTGCCCTCGTGAAAATTCCAAAATGTCATAATTTCACTTTTCTCGTTTATTTAAGTAGCGAAACATTTAAGGTTTTGGCAAATTTTAGTTTTTGAAACGACGCTTTTCGTACCGCATCAGTATAAAAAATTCAAAAAATTATTAAACTCTTAATCAAGCTTTATTTGGGTTCTAGGTGACTTTCATTGAGACATGCCAAAATTTTGGTTCACCTATTTTCAACTTCCTTTTTCTCCGTTTTTATAATTGTGTTGCATCGCAAGTGGTCAGAAACTCCGCTTCGCCTCTGTGTAGTTCGTGTGAGGATAGTTCGCCAAGCGTATATTTATTAAAGCATTATTCGACACTTTCAAAAAAAACGGTTCTGGAAAATGTGCATCAATGCCATCTCATTCATTAGTCCATGGCTGGAAAAGATTGGACTCCTAGCTCCTTCACTATCAAAAGACAACCGAGGAATCACCTGTGACAAAGAGTGCAACGATGAAAGCTGCGGAACTAAAACGGCAGCTGGTCCACTTGCAAGCTCATCAGAAAACACTAATCAAACAGTAGTTTCAGAAGAACCGAGCGATGCCAAAAAGAATTTATAGTATTAAAATATTTGATAAATGGTGCTATGTCGAATTTATTAAATTGATAAGGTTATGTAGAGTTTCGTTTTATATAATATTTATCTCTTCGATTATAACTCTTAGAGATGTTTTATTGCTTTGTCTTCTTTTTCAATGCTGGGCTCTGCGTAACGAAACAGTATATGAAGTTTTGAAGCTGCTTTTGGTATCAACTAAGTAAAAAATTCGAATTGTATTCTGATCTAACCCATATTGGTCGTTTTCTCATTAGCTTTGGAACAACTTTGAGGTGCATAGAAGTAGTGCTCTGGTTTCCAGGTTTTGAAAAGCTAGTTTTTCTATCATGCGTTAAGTTTAAAAAACTCTGGCGAATTAATGGCATAAATACACAAGCAAACGCTTGTGTTATAGTACCAGGCCATGTTTTCTAACCCATCTAGCATAACTTAGTGCCACTAATTAGTGCCATTTTTTGCTTTGTATGCGAAGTGCAACTTTGTCTCTGTGCAATGAATATTTCCAAAACAAGGCTCCCTTTGTTCGAGCAGTATCGGTTGTGACGAGAAATTTCAAATGAAGGAAAATGAGACCGTTTTTCTGAGAAAACTTGTGATGAAAAATTTAGGTTGTTTTGAAAATAAAATTATATTTTTGCGTTTGGATTTTTTGTTGTTTTTGATTTTGCATCTTATTCAGTACTTTTCTCTAATTTGCAATTGATAGCAGCTAGCTTCTGTAAAAGTAGCAGGAAGCGTTTACGAAAACCTACGAAAAACAAAAAAAATTGTTTCTTTCTAGTTTTTTCAGCCTATTTTCAATTTTCATCTAGTTTTTAAGACCTGAGATTTTCTTTTAATTGCTTTTTAGCTCATGGATATGTGGTAAAAAAACAATTGCAAATGCACGAATAGCAAAAAATGGTCGGCAACAGTTTTTCCTTTATATTTTATACGTCGTTTTGGTCTGATTTTTCATTCGTCCTATTAATGAATGTTCTATTATGAAAACAAGGCTCCTTTTTTTGAAACAGTATCGAATTTTTGTAAAAATTGTTTTATTTTTGCTTTTGGATTCTTATTTGTTTTGATTTTGTGTCTTTTTCAGTATGATTTTCTCATTCCCTATTGATGGTGTCATGTTAGGCGCTCATCACCTTGTAATAAACTAGAAAATTATAAAAAAGCTTGAAAAAAAATCGACTGTGGTTCTATAAATTTTTGAGCTTCTGACTGTGAACTGTTGTTTTTCTTCAAATTTCCCAGTGAACATAGTTCCTTTAATATTTCATAAGAATCACATCCTGAAAGATATGGATATGAAAGCCTTTTAGTTACGATCATTTCACAAAGTGAAGAGAAGGAACTATGGATTAGCTGTGTTTTTGCTCTCAATTTTAGGAGCCTTAACAAAAGTTCAAGGGGGTCATGTGAAGTATCATATTAAACCTTGTTTGTCGAGATTGGGTTTCAAAAAATTCAAAAAATTGTCTCAGTGTTGCACCAATTTCATCTTACTTTTTTACTGGAATTCTAACTTCTTGCAGTTTTTTAAAGCCCCCGGTCCTGCTCTTTGCACAACCATCCGTGGGGTAGGGGGTTGATATGTGGTGCATCCGAACGCTCGACCCTCTTTTTGAGAGACACGTGCCTTATCCAACTCGGGCTTGGTCGAATCATGCTATGCTAAGTGCACAGCAGCCGGCTATCCTTGTTTCTCTGTATTTTTTTTCTGTAAAAAAGTAATAGGTATGTTAAATCAAATAGTTCCAAGCTCCGCTTCGCCTGTTTCATTTCTGATATTCGAAAAAAAAGTGTTTTTCAAATCTGAGTTCCTATATCTGAATCTGAAAAGAATGAAAGTTGTTTCGAAATTTTCTTTTTGGTTGCTTTTCAGATTAGTTCAAAATGGCGTGCCCGTTTGATCCCGTGTTTATAATTTCCATTCTAATATACGTCTTTTACAAATATGTTCAGCCTCTCTTTACATTCTGCATGACCAAATTGGGAATAATGACACCACCTGCAGAGAGAAAACATGTGAACACACCTCAAAAACATCCCTCAGACGAAAGATCAAACTGTAATACTGAAAGTTGTAGTGAGAACAACGAAGATATGAGTAGATCTGAAAAGGAACTTGCCAATCATGAAAGGCCTGGAAAAATTAATTATGACCAATATGCTTTAAAAGAATAAACAGTCCAAGATGAATCAAAGAAAGCTCTTTAAAATCGTTGATAATATCAAATCTACGATCACATCGGATTTATGCCTCGAAAAACTCAGTGGACCTATCGAAATTGTTCTTAGTGGGCATTCTTAAAATTATTTGAATAATATCCGCATCCAATTCAATTCATAGCCACTATTAGATTACACAGCTGTAAAAATCTATCTTAGATCATCTATTTGTAAAGAACTTTTTGAATGACTTTTTTCAATAACGATTGATGTAGAAATTTAAAAAGCTAATTTATGCTACTTGTTTTTGTTTTTATCAAAAAAGGAAAGTATGATGATGGGATGCATTGGCATACAATTTGCTCACCACGGCACTCATTTTCTCAATACATTATCGCTTTTAGTAAGAAGAATCAGCTTACATTTCCCCTAGCTGTTTTAGCTATGCATTTAGCCAAACAGTCATGGTTTGGCGAGGTAGCTGATACGAGCAGCCGTTTCTGAGTCGATTAGGAACACGTCTCTCAACACGAGGGTCATGCGTTCGAGTCCCACTACGGACACGATTGAAGGGGTACCAGTGCCATTCGCCTTGTCGCTAGCTTTTTTTTGCTCGAAATTAGAATAAAAATAAAAAAAATCAGATCGGTTTTTCTCGACAGCGGGAAAATTTTTCGTAATTTCTTAATATCGCACGACTAAAAGGGCTTTAATATGAGATATCACGTGACCCTGGTTGATGATTATTTGTGGTACCTGATTTTGCGTGGAACTAAACAAAAAGTTGAAAAAACTAAAACCTGAATACAAAGTTTCTCCCCATTTTCAATGGTCGGAACAATTGAAAACAGGAAATGGGAATCATCCCGGCATAATTTTGGGCTCTTTTTCATCGCTTACACTTCACTTTTTTCACTTTAATTATGCTGATATGCTAAATTGAAACTACACCTAATTCAAATAAAATTTCTTCATAGAATGTTTAATGTAGTACTTAATTTTTTCAATTATATGTATTGAAAAAAATGTAAATTTTTTCGTATTGTGGTTTTCGTCCTTATTTCTGTCGGCTGATTTCCGTTGTTTTTTCAAATGCAATTATTATCTTGTATGTTTTTCTAGTAGATTTTTTCCAAATGAAGGGTTTTTGAATTTTTATTTGAATAGGTCCTGCTTGAGAAAAACATATATTATGAAAATGTATGGGATTTGCTTTTTTCAATTTTTTTTATCGATTAGGAAACTTTTCATTTTTCTTTAAAATTTTAGTTTTTCTCAAAAACTAACGTACCGACTTTAGAAAAAGTTGTTCCAATAGAAAGAACGCACGCTTTTTTTGGTACTTGTTTCTTAAAAACTACCCTCAAAACTTCAGATTTTGGGTTCATGAAAAAAAAGTTTGAACTTTGACTTTGCGCGAAAACTACCCTGCCATTTCTCAGAAATTGATTCAATCGAAGAAACAGTTTGTAGAGTTTTTAGCTGCATACGCTGGTACCCCCTACTTTTTGTAGAGAAAAAAGCTATAACACTTGAAAAAATCAATTTGATTAATTTGTTGACCGTTTTTTGGATTCTTTTTAACTTCTACCAGAAAATATTTCATGACTCGGAAACTTCCACATTCTGAAGTTTTCGCCGTTTTACAAGTTTTTGCAAAATTTTTCTTTCTTCTCGAAAACTACCCGGACAAATCTGGGTTCTATAATTATATCGACAAAACAGGAAATGAGAATCTTTCCGGTATAAGTGGCTTGGCAGTCACCGGTTCACTATTCATTATGAAAGTTCACTAACCCCTACCCAATTTCATTTTAAGTTCATTTGTGAGAACGTGTATATCCCCTAGAGATAACATTTATCTACCCTAGACTCGGGCTAATTACTCGTTTTAGAATAAAAGCAACTAAAAGATAACGCATTTCATACCTAGTCGGTAAAAGGTAATCTAAAAAATATCGAACAGGTACCTCTAGCTTTGACAAGGCCCCCAATTTTAACTATAACTGAAAGTCGTTCTGTGGTTGTAATTTTTTAACTCAGATTTTTAATAGTTTATTCATTTTGTTTGCTTAAACGTGTTCAGCTTACGCTTTATCGGCTTAATCATTTTATATTGCGTAGTTTCATGGGCGAATTTTCAAATGCTTTTTCAGGAGGGATGTGTCTTAAAGTTATTGACTTCATAAATCTTGTGGCTTGAAAATTTTTATGAGTACAGTTTCTTTTCCAGCTTAATGAGGGTCGACCCTACTTTTTTGTCTAATTGACGCTCGCCAACAACAGATATGATTTTTGTAATGTTTCATAAACATGACTTCCTTAATTTTTCATTCAACGTATGTAATGCAGTGTTTTTATTGCATCGCAAATGTTGCGAAGCTCCGCTTCGCCTCTGTGTCAAGATTATGGTAAGAATAGCTGCGGAAGCAGTAAAATCAGATAGTTCGTTTCTAAACTAGATTTCGAAGCTAAATCAGTCTGAGAGCAGTTCTTCCCGACACATATATTTTTTTGAAAAATTAGTTTATAACGCAAATCACAACGGCAAGCTCCTTGATATTATATCACTCGAACACCTACAGGTCTGCGTTGAGGTATTCGAATCACAGGAACAACCCGCACCACGCTATATTTCCTTCCTCTTTTTGAATAGCAAAAGTGTCAAAAGTTTGGCCGAATATAAAGATGAAAGAATTAGACCAAAATGTTTAGATGCTTCCGTAAAATGTTTAGATGCTTCCGTAAAATGTTTAGATGCTTCCGTAAGGTTTTGAATGAAACAGAGAACATAAACCAAATGGGCAACCTTGACAGACCAAAGTTGTCAACTGTGTTGCTCTTGACTTTCACCAGACACTTTCTTTTTGAGGAGTTGTGATGGGTTCTATGGACTGTAAAGACGTTGAAGATGATGAGTCGGCAGCTGACTCGCTGTGGTTCACCAAGCCTGACACTGTGTTCTCACAACTCATCTGTCACCAGAGTGACCACTTGATCTGCTGTGATTTTTTGGAGAAAGAAAAAACTTCTGCTTTTTAATTACACTTGTAAATGTTACTTTATCCTGCTTTTTAAGTTATCCTACCATATAAATTTTACGTGAAAATAATTAATTTAAGAGCAGAGAGAGGGAAGATAACGGGATAATCTGTGTTTTTAATTAATGCTCATTGTAATTTTGCTGGAAAAAAAACTAAATATCTGATCTGACAGTTCACCAATTTTGATGCCAAAATGTGTTTTTGCAAGGACTAAATTTTTTCGAAGTGGTCACCCATAAATACGGTCACCCACAGGACCAGAAGCTGAATCATCCACATGTATGGACACAAATGGCGAACAAGATGATTTCACAGCTCACAATGTCTCACAGCCCCAATTAGCTGGAGGAGTTCGTGCCATGGGATGTGAAAGACTGTTTGAACTGCAGAAAATCATGTTAAAAAAGGTAACACAACAATACAAGAACACTATTAGTTATATAAAATGTGTCAATACAAGATTTAAATTTTTCAGGTCGACCTAACTGATTTTATGAACTATACCGAAATGATATGCAGCCCCTATTTTGCTAATTTCTCGGAGCCGCAGGCAAATTTTTGAAAACAGCATGCCAACAATTACGTTTTAGGGCAATATTTTTGCAGGTCTCGACCTAAAAATTGCCTTTTATTGGGCGCTACCTCAATTATAGTGCATTTTAACGAAAATTTAAAAAAGTATCGGTCTGAAAAACAAAAGTTAAGGACCCTTTGGATAGCCACGGGTAGAATACCTGAGAGGTACGGCATCCCTTTAAATCGTGTGCTGATGATTCTTTGTGATAGTAAAATCAAAGCGCTAGAAAACCAAGCAATGATTGATTCTTGAATTCAGTAACATGCAACTGCTCAACTTCTACCCTTTTATTCTTGTTTGAAATAGATAGAAATTATGATCCGTTTCGAGCAATTCAGAGAAAGGAGAAACAATTGATTCCTAATCCAGTATTCATACTCATTCTATCTGATTGGCACACAATAAAATCCTTTAGGAATAGTAGGTTGTTTGGTTGGTATCATAGGAGACTAATAGGGTATCAGTTACACCTACAATAGCGGCGATTGCAGTCTTAACCTACTGGTAGGATTAAACGTAAAGTTGAGCTCTACCCTCCGTACAGTGGTGACCGCGACGAGGACGAACTGGAAACGAGAAACACCCATATCTGGAGCCCTCTTCGACTACTACGGCGAATACGAAAACACAAAAGGACTTTGATCACATCATGAAATCAACCCAGCTACACCACAAACGACAATTGGACCAGGACAGTGACGTCGGACTACGCAGCATTACACATGTGAGCGCCTAGAAAACAAAATCATCAACAGGTTCTGTACTGGAGATTGGTAATCATTATGCCATCAAGTGCAGTTCAGGAAGTATTCAAGCGCGCAAAAAAAATTCCAAACAATGATTTTGGAGGACAAAAAAAGATTTGCGAAAGCTCTGGAACAACACGAACTGGATGATATAAAATAAAAACAGCAAGCGGCATCCGAGAGCTTATAAATACTCGAGGAAACGAACTACTCGCAACACTTTAAATGTAATATCATGACGAATTCACAGATATTATCTCAAATCACAAAAGCTTATTTAGACAGCTGAAGAAGCTGAACGCGAGGCGCAACAAAGAAAACAGGAAGAGAACAACGGACAGGGAAAGAGCGGCGACTAGTACCACGTCAACATTGCAAATAAGCAGCAGAGGAACAAGTAACGATTAACTGTCTCCGTGCGTTTCGACAAACTACTCCAACCCAGTTTACAGGCAGCAAAGTAGACGATAACACGCAGCAGAAGAACGAAAAGAAGTTGCGGATACCTTAAGTGAGAAGGATGTTTTTATCAAAGACTTAGCTTGAATACGATTGGGGACAACGGATGCTTCGGTCAATTTTTTGTGGAACCCTGATGCCATCAGTGTCCAATGCAAACTTTGGATTTTTTGGAGGTTTCAATACAATGATTCTCTACAAAAAACCAACGTGGATAACTTTGGTGGAGATCCAAAGATTGATTGTAGATTGATATAATCGTTTCAACTTTTTTGTTACAGAAACACCACTCAGCAGCATTCGAAAATCAGCTTACTTGCATGGATTACTCGCTGCAAGAGCGAAAGCTTTACATAAGGGTTTGTTTGCATTCGCAATTTGTTTGAGAGAGTAGTTGGAGAGTTACGATGACCTCTCCGCTATCATACATCAATGGTCAACAGCTTAATCAACAGAATCATCTGGTTTCCACGATTTCTCCTAGGAAAACTCGAAACACTGATAGATAATGCTCAAATAATTACAGCAAATAATCGCTTGAGAAACTGGGATTTCTTTCCGATCTGTACTTTTACATGCTGCTGAGAAGTGATCATAGAATGAGCACGTAAAATGAAACAAACTCGTTCTTCCATCCATCTCTGAAATATTTCAATAACTAGATACGAACCTTGGCAGAAATATATGAGAGGTCGTCTTTAATATGACCTAGGTACGGTATCAAGCGACAGTATTCCAATAAAACGTCAGATCAACAAAAGCGATGATATCAGAGTTGCAACAGACATGGGTCCATGAACGCATCCATCTTCAATAACAATGGTTCCAACCAGAGAATTTTCTGTTTCTTCAACGACGGAGATCATGATCTAAAGCCTTGACCAATGATCAGCTCCAAAGCAACTAATCATCGCTGGGTGGTAGTACAACAACTAAATCTCTGTATCAACTATTGGAAGTGGGGCACAGATCCCGTGATCGTCTCTAATAATCAATTGCCATTCTTCAGACTACATCATCAAAAGTTGATCTCCAATGTCATCGATGTTTAATACAGAGCTCATGAAACTACAGACAATATAACGGCGGCAATGGTGTATCTACTAGACATTCTACCAGTGATTCTTCACTGAAAGGAGCGAGAAATCAATATCTATGGCTTTTCGGACTAATACTTCGAATGAAACAGCAAGCAAATAGAAGCTTTAAAAGCTGGATTAACAGCAATTTGTCTTCAGGCGGCCAATAGCTCAGATGTAAAAATTTTATGCAACAGCTACACAGATATCAAAGTTTCGACTTGAAAAACGCTTATGCAGTGGATCAGTTTTTCTTACCAACACTTCAACATCATCCAGCCGAAATACTGACACAGTACAAAGTAAACTGGCATTTCAAAATTGGGCTCGAAGGAAGTTACAATACTCATTGGACAAGACAAATTCCATTCGATCCCACCATTTCGAACAAAATTTGGGCTTGCAAAGCATGAGTAATGTCAAACTTGGATGGGCTCTCTTTGGACCTCAGGCAACAACTAAACATCAATATAGTTCGATATAGATCATGTCCCAAATTTGGTGAGTCATATCTGGACAGTTACAACAGCTTTTTCGACGTAGCATCTCATTGGTGGAAAACTAATTCACCTTCAGCATGCAAAGACCTTTTATGAAGACCCAAGAGGAAGCCTCGCGGGCGAACGAAATTTTGCGGGGAATCTGCTGTCGACTAGCAGGCGGAATATACGAGGAAGTCAAACGAGAAAAAGAAATTTCGCGCAAAATATGCTGTCGGCTACCAGACGGAAGATACGAGACAAGATGTCGTCTACGGGCTAAGGACTCGTATTTACCGAATAATCAATAAATAGTCCGGGCAGATTTACGACATTTTTCATTACAATTTGGAGAAAATCCGCAAATGTACATCAAATACGACGAATGCATACAAAGTTATCTACAAAATTGCTATCTACGAAAGTTACCGAAAAATGAAGAAGTCGAAACCAAATGGTATTTACCATATTACGGACTTATGGATCCAAATAAACCGGACTAAATCAGACGAATAAACAACGGTCACATGGGACAAGAGTGGTGCGTGAGTAGCTCTTCTCAAACTGTGCGGGGGGAGCTCATCTTGAACTGTGTAGGGGAGACGAGCTTAACCCTAAATTAAATCCTGCTTGAAGGTTATGACTGCACTAAAGGTAATCATACCTAGTGCAGGCGGAATGGTATATACCATTTTACGGTATATATAAATGGTATATACCATTCTACGGACTTATGAATCCAAATAAACAGGTTAAGTCTGACGCATAAGCAACGGCCACGGGGGAGAAGAAAGTTGTGCGGGAGGGAGGAGCTCTTCTCAAACTGTGTGGGGGAGAAGAGAGCTTAACCCTAAATTTAATCCAGCTTGAAGGTTATGACTGAACTAAAGGCAATCACCCCCTAGTGCATGCGTAATGGTATATACCATATTATTGTATAAATAAAATGGTGTATACCATATTACGGACTAATGAATCCAAATAAACAGGACTTAATCAGACGCATAAGCAAGGCTCACGGAGGAGAATAGAGTTGTGCGGGAGGAGCTCTTCTGAAACTGCGCTGGTGGAGCTCTTCCAAACTGTGTGGGGGAAGAAGACAGCTTAACTCTAAGTTTAGTCCTGCTTGAAGATTATGACTGCACTAAAGGTAATCACCCCTAGTGCAGGCGAAATGGTATATACCATATTACGGTATATATAAATGGTATATACCATATTACGGACTTATGAATCCAAATAGACATGACTAAATCAGACGCATAAGCAACGGTCACGGGGGAGAAGTGAGTTTGGCGGGAGGAGCTCTTCTCAAAGTGTGCGGGGGGAGCTCTTCCCAAATTGAGTGGGGGGGAGAAGAGAGTTGTGCGGGGGGAGGAGGGCTCATATCAAACTGTGTGGGGGAGAAGCGAGCTTAACCCTAAGTTTGATCCTGCTTGAAGGTTATGACTGCACTAAAGGCAATCACCCCCTAGTGCAGGCGTAATAGTATATACCATACTACGGTATATAGAAAATGGTGTATATCATATTACGGACTAATGAATCCAAATAGAAAGGACTTAATCAGACGCATAAGCAACGGTCACAGAGGAAAAGAGAGTTGTGCGGGGGGGGGGGCTCATATCAAACTGTGTGGGGGAGAAGCGATCTTAACTCTAAGCTTAATCCTGCGTGAAGGTTATGACTGCACTAAAGATAATCACACCTAGAGCAGGCGTAACTGATGCACTATTAGCATCCAATTATATCAAGCTGGTAATCTAGTTCTTGGTTTTCTGGATTTTTGGTTTTTGAGTTTACCGCCACAATGCATCATTAGCACATGCATTTTCATCAGCACCTATCTTTTGTTAATTAATCTTAAGTAGTGAGATTTCCCTCAGTTTGAGTAAGGAAAACGGTATTGTAAAATTTGAATATTGAATTAGATATGATATATAAATAGATAGAATAGAGTAATGAATTAATGATTAACGAATCCAGAATTGAAGTATTGTTTAACGTTTTAATGTTTATATGACTAGATTTCACACTTAAGGCTCTCGCAAGTGACCACTTCAGATT